TTTTTCTTTGCAAGGGGAAAAAAACCTCCTTGATAATTTTACATGTAAAATTTATTTATAATATTACATCATATCTTATTTATAAGATCTTATTTATAGTTTATAAATAAAATCTTATAATTAAAATTAAAAAAATATTTATTAATTTTTTTAAATTAATATTATTAATATTTTTTAATAATAATTAAGGAAGAGAAAAAAAAATTAAAAAAGATACTCCGGTAACCTTTTTTCCCCCTAAATATCCAACTGGCTTCTGAAAGGAAAAAGATAACTTCCTTTCCATACTGGATTTAGACGTAATTGTTTATATATTTGGATAGTTAAATTAAAATTTGACAAAATATTATGATTGTTAATGATAATATAATAAAAATTTGATTTAATTTGAATTTTATATATTTTAGATAAAAAAATATACTTATTCCATTATTACTAAACAATCACGTCTCTATTATATTTCAATTATAAATTCTGACAATTCATGTATCGGATGACACACACATATAGTTCATAAAATTCTTGTCCACCAAAAAAAAAACAATCTAATTTCCGAAAAAATAACAACTCCAGCCACGCTTTTTAAGGGAAAATAAATGTTTCTCAACCACTGAATTGTTTCTTTCTTTGCACAGAAATTCCCAACCATTGATGAGGTACCAAATAATAAGATCATTCCACGTAGCAAACAACGAAGCTACGAAGGTTCTAGCATATTCCTTAAACCCCACATGTTTGTTAAGAATCGAGAGTAGAGTTGACTCGATGGCGAATTTTTTTAAAAAATTAATACTCTTCCACTCCTAAATATAATATAAATTATACGAGTATTATAAAACGAGTATTATATTAGAACTTTATACTATAAAAAAGGATTTATATTTGGGACTGAAGGGAATGCTACCCTATTTTTTAATATAAAAACTTCTTTAATTTTTATTTTAATTTTAAATATAAGATCTCAATCTACTTTGTTTCTTATATTTATTTTTTTTAAAGGTAGTCCTTATAATAATAATAATTCTACCTAATACACTTGATTAATAAAGATATTTTAAAAAAGATAACACTTATTTATTATAAATAACTAATTCAAATTAGTCGACTAATTCTCATGTTAAGGATCGAGAGTACTACTTGGATGGTTTTAGTCAAAAGATCGACAAAGGAATTAAAAGTATAATACTTTTTTTTGGGGTCAAAGTATTAAAACTATAATACTAGTATCAAATTTAATCCTTTTGTTTTGAAAAATAATAAATATATAAGAATCTGAAACGTGCGGTTTGAGTGCGTTTTTGTTTTTATGTTCTTCTTTAAAGCAGCTTTATGCGTTTTTCCCCCTTAAAACAAATAAAGTAACGTCTCTGGTTAGTTCTATAACGTGATAGTTTCAAAAACAAACAAATGCTTTCCTATTATTTATTTGTGCATTTTCACTTGATTATTTGAAAGTTAATGAACTGATCAAGATTAGTGCATCCGAGAAGACACATTGCTTGATCTTTTCTTTCTTTTTCTCTTTCTCTGTTTTTTTTTTGGTCTTACCAAATTGCTTCAATTTAGATTTTTTTTAAGATAGTATAAACCAAAAGTATTAAATTTAAGCAATGGGAGGCCAGATGCGTTAAAATTAAATAAAGTTTTGATTGAGTTTAAATATTATAGGAAAAATTAGGAAAACATCCATGATTGAAAAATAATTGGTGAATGGTAGTTAAAATTACAGGAGAAAAACTATAAAGCTTCATTTTAATTGGAGCGCGAGATTAGTCAATAATACTAAAGTGGTGGATAATTTGTTTCAGATATATATAATTCTCTTTCTATGGTAAGATCTATTCCTCACAATTTTTTTGTTTTTTTAAATCTAATCATCATCAATATAAATAATAAATAATAAATTTCTTAAAAAAAATCACACCATTCATAAATTATAAATAATGCGCCTCTTCACATATTCATCGTAACACCCAGACTTGCAAAATTAACTCGCACTACAAGTTGTCATGCTCAAATTCTCATGTTGTTCGTGTTTTCACTCACCAATTTTGTGACTAATTCGAAGTGGAAAAAAAAATGGCTCCTTGCAAAAATGCCAACCTTAGAAAAATGTTTTTTTCTTTGCCAACAAAAAATTTCTAATCAGATAATAGCAATTTATTCAAAAAAAGAAAAGAGTTATGCTAATTAAAACCTCTCTCACTCTCTCACGCACACAGAGTTATATTTATCTGGTTCTACCACAATGCGACGTCTTTTTTCAACCTAAACCACAATGTTACATCTTTGAATTACGTAATGTTGATGAATTATTTATTTCTATTAATTTCATGGTTATACGTCTTTAGTTATGGCCGAGTGGTGTTTTTAAAGTTGTTGTCGGTCTTGTCTTAAATTAATACGAATCTTTTAAATTCATCCTTTAGGCTAGCGAGAAAGTTATTTATGGACAGACAATAGGAGGATGTTAATAAAATGATTCAGATATAAAGAGGTGAATGTATAATGTTAATATGACCCCTGGCATTATACTACCTCCGTACTAATTATAAGAGTTAGTTGACTAATTTTAAGAGATTAAGAAAAGAAGTTAAATTAGTTATTTGTTATAAATAATTATTATATTCTATAAAATATCATTGCTAGTCAAGTGTGTTGGCTAGAACTACTATTGTTAGAAGGACTATTTTAAAAATATATATAAATATTAAAGACAAAATAGATTGAGATCTTATATTTAGAACCAAAATAAAAATTAAATAAATTTTTATATTAAGAACTGAAGTTAGTACGAAATATGCTAGTACTCCTCCGGTCCTTATTATAAGACCCAATTTGACTTTTTATTTGGTCCTAATTATAAGACCCAATCCATTTTCTCTCTTATATTTATGCATTTTTTTCCAAGATAATCCTTCTAATAATGATAGTTTTAGCCAATATACTTAATTAGCAAGGATATTTTAGGAATAACAACACTTATTTATTATTATAAATAACCAACTTAACTTACTTCCTTAATCTTCTCAAATAAGTCAATTGGGTCTTATAATTAAGACCGGAGGAGTATATGTTTTTGCCGGCAAGAACATGGGCTTCATATGAATGATATAATAAACCTTTCAATATAAAATACTCCCCTATCCTAGCCTCCTATTTGTTAGAGAACAAAGTCAAGACTGAGGAAAACTTCCGAAACTGGTGTCAAGTCAATCATTAGATGATAATATGGCATATGAAGATAATTTTTTTTTTGGGAAAATTTCAAAAAAGTGATAGTTAAATTTCAAAATTTCAAATCAGTACTAATTATTACCTCGTAAAGAAAATGATTACATTCAAAGAGCAAATGACAACACATTTTTGTAGTAATTCCTGATTTGAAATTTTGAAATTCAGTAGTCATTTTTTCAGGATTTTCCCCCCTTTTTTAATTTTTACCAAAACTTCAAAATTGACAGCACACAAAAAAATTTCAGCACTTCAAAATATAAGATTTGAATTCATTTGTACCCTCTTTTAGGAGGTGTTTAAAGACACCCAGAAGTGTTTTGAAAAAATATTTTTCATAAATCAAAATAAATTTTTTCACATATTTACTTCATATACTGTAAAATCACGTTTGAAATCATGATTTGATTTTTACTTGTCTTTCTATTACGCACAGCGCGTTTCGAGGAGCGTGTTCCAATGAAAATCCTGTCATAACTTAGTGGTCACTTTCTTCTTATTTTATATTTTTCTGATATTAAATAAAAAACTTATTTTATAACATAATTTATATTATAAAATATGTCTTGTGTTTAGTTTTAGAGGAATATTTATTATTAATAACGGAAATCCTGTCATAGCATTCTACTCTCCTAAAATAAACTCTATTTTCCAAACAATCCAATGCAAGCTCTTGGAAAGCGACAGAGATTATTATAAAAAAAAAAAAAAACCCTCAAAATAGCATGCATTAACTATTCAATTTATCCACTTGGACCAAAAAAAAAACTATTCAATTTATCCACACTACGGAGTGGAACTTCTGCTTTTATCCCAGGCCAGGTTGGCTTTGGTTTTAGCGGCCTAGTTTCTGAAATTTGGTAATACTGACTCGTTTAATTTTTATTTTAATATTAAATATAAAATTTTAATTTATTTTAGTTTTTTAAAAAATATTTTTTATAATAATAATAGTTCTAATCAATACATTTGATAAACAAGAATAATTTAAAAAAGATAATACTTATTTGTTATAAATAACTAACTTAATTAATTTTTTAACCTATTTAAATTAATTAATTAACTCTTATATTGGTCTCGTTTGGATTGCTGTTGCAGATGGTAAAAGCACACGGGAAAACATGAAATTCAAGTTTGTGGCTTATTGTGACTCAAAAGATTGTTTGGATGGGACTTCTTTTCTAACTGACTTATGGAAAAAAGTAATTTTTCTAACTGACTTATCCAACGCAATCTGAATCAACTTTTCTAACTGACTTATAGACAAATTGTGCAAAGCTTACAATCTAATTAATTATGTGATTTCATTTACTTTAATTAGAGACTAAATAAATTTTAATTTATATTCATGTTTGTCTATTATGTATATTTAATTAATTATCTACAATGTGTTTTCAAATTTTTCTCTATAACAAATATTTTTATTTTATAATTTCACAAATAACCTATTTATATTTTGTCATAATAATTTTATGTATTTTTTTAAACTATTATCACATTAAAAACATAAAATTTCAAATACTACTATTCAATAAAATCCATACCCTTTTCAGTCATTTTACAACTAAACTAACTTTTCTATTAATCTTCTAAACAACTTTCAACTCTTTCAACTGACTTTTTATAAGCATATATCCAAATTTAAATCGCATGATACTAACTGACTTTTACTCTAACTTCATTTATAAAAATCAGTTAGACTAAAAATAATCCAAACATACCCATTAAATTCAGAGGTAATAACGTTCAGAATCGGAATCATATGTTATTATTCCTGATAATTTTTTTTATTTAAAAAAGACATCAAAATGACAATGCCCACTCCAACATGAAGATCCTATAAAACTGCCTACACATACAAGGACGATAAAAACTAAGGTAAAATGATGTTCAATGCCGTCCCCACGTACCCTGACTATAACGCACCACCTTCACAAAAAGTGTGGCGTCTCCATTTTTGAGAAGGATGGATGCTTTATGGATCTTCGGGAACAGGAAGGTCCTCCTCCTCCGGCAAGTCCAAAACCCATTCTCCGTCTTGCCGGCGAGCCATGCCCTTGTTCTTCTCCACCCACCACGACCCAGGAATTTTGCACTCTTCCTTCAAGAACTCACACGATTTGTTCACCAAAGCCAAGCTTCTCTTCACCTTCATCTCAAACTCACCCTCACTCCCGTTCCACCCCGCCACCACGTGAAGCATCGCCTGCAAATTATGCCAGTCGCTAGGGTTCTTCGAGTTCTTCAAGAATGGCGATTTCCTAGTGTCAATCTCCAGCTCTGCTCCTGTATTTACGTACCCCAGTAACCTTCCTGGATAATGTGGGATGAGATCGATCTTGTTCTTTATGTGCAAAACCTTCAGATTGGGAAATTTCTTGAACCTCTCGTTGAATGCTGTGTTTCCGACCTGAGGAGACCCGAACACGAAAGCACATACAGGGACGTTGGTGACTCCATTTTCGACCAGGTCGAACCCGCAAAGAATCGATAAGCTTGCTCCTAGACTATGCCCGGCCAGAATCACACTTGGGTTTTCGTCTTTGTAAAGATTCAGCAAGTGTTTAACTTTGCTCTGAATTTGAGTTCTGACACTTGTTTTGGTAAACGACGATTTTGGGTCTTCGGAGACGTATATCGTTAGCCAACCCCTCATCACTTTGGGGATTTTCCCGTGTTCATCATCATCATCGTCACTGCTAGAAGAGCCTTCATCTCCAGGGCTGATTTGGAGCTCTTCGAGGGTTCGAGGGCTTAACAGAGCTTTAGCAGAGTCGGGTTCAGCCCCCATGACATCGATCCACTCGTAATTCCGAGTCGTCCCGCGCCAGACGATGTAGATTTCACGGCGGCCCAAGGCGGCACTGACCTCGTCGGAGGTGACGGCGATGAAACCGATCCAGTTAGACTCACGGTCCCAGGACTCCCTAGACATGGACTTGAGAAGAAAAGCCTCTGGAACACTGACTCTAGCGGTGGCGTAAAGAAAAGACGCGACGGTATAGTCATCGGGCCGGTCGAACATGACCTTTCGGAAGAAGGACTTCTTGCCGTAGCGGCTGGAGCCGCAGAAGCGAGAGTTGGGATCGTTGTTGAAGGCGTCGTAGGTGGCCTGAATTAGATCGCCGGAGCGGAGGATGAGGTTGCGAAGGTCAAGGTGGAGAGGCTGAAGCAAACCTTCCCAGTCGTCGCTACCCAGGAGTTCCGGCCACGTGGGGTTATGTTGACTTGTTTGACCTCCGGTTTCTGCCATTACAGCAGAGAAAGGAGTGGCAGAGAGATCAGATGAGGAAGATAAAGTAGTTGGGAGGTGAGGTTTGGGGTTAAAGAAAAAAGGAGGCAGATTAATACAGGCTTTGCTCGGTTCTTGCGATCATAATGATGGCATGTGGCTGCCCCACCACCCACCGTCACTGATAAGTCATGATTATGTAAGGGTCTTAGCCGGAGATTGGAACGCCATTTGATCTTTTGAATACTAAATAGGATATGATTTTGTGTTTGAGCAATAATCGAGGGAAAGAGATATTAAAATGAGACATGATTCCGCAAACTCCCGATAATGCAATTCTATACCGAGATGGCATAGTGGCAGCTTATGAACTTATGGGAAGTTACCATATCTAATTCAAAACCATTCCAGTCTCTGTGCTCTGGTTTTTAGTACCGTACAAGTCAGTAGAATTGAGAGCTTCATTGAAACTCTCGCTAGCCATAACTAAGGTCCTTCCGTCCTTGGGTATTACACGCGATTTGCAAGCAAATAGCGGGAACAGGTGTTCGATAAAAATTCATGTGTTAACAGATTGTGGTAGAGCCATTAATTTGTTTGCGGAAAAATGACAGCTTTGGTGTATAACTCATTTCAAGTTTCAAGACATTATATTGGAGATAGCCATGCTATAATGTTAGATACGGAGATTGGTTTATAACCATGACAATCTCTTACACAAGTTCCTTATGGTCACGGATAAGTAATGATTAACCGAGGCGTTCAAGGGAGGGGATTAGAAAGCTGTGTACTTTGAATAGTTTATATTACAATAATGAATAATTATATTGAACTTTCAGTTTGAGCAAAGGAAAAAAAAAAGAGGATGTATTGTCAGTGAGAGGAATAAAGCAAAAAAATCATGATGATCCAGTAAATTACCAATGGTGCAATCATCCACAATCATATTGGGATGGCAAGATACGAGAAACTGTAATCCTACCACTAATACCCCATCTACTAAACATGTCATGATTCAAAATTAACTTCTGACCAGAAGAAATTCAAAATGATCTAATTTTACATGGCATTAGTACTTAAGTATCAAAGCTAACCAATTAGCATATGTTCTATCTGCTACTTAATATAAGATTTATTTAATTAGTTTGATTAGACTAAGAAAGTTAGATAAGTTAGTTAATTATAAAAAATATAATTTTTTTTTTAAAAATACCATAATCATCCTCTTTGATACCATTCTTTTATCTTTTACTTGATTATTGTTGAAAGAGTAATAATAGGGTTAATTTAGAGAAAAATAAATATAAGAAATGGGTTTTACATTTTAAATCAAGATCAACTTAATAATTACATCTTATATTAAGGGAGTGTTTGGCAATTACCAAAAATACTTATAAAAACACTTCTTTTGAAATTGAGATAAATTCATTCATATATTTATTTCGTATATCATAAAATTATTTTTTAAATTATGATTTTGTTTTTATTTAAATACTCTCTTAAAAACTAAGAGAGAAGTAGGATAGGTTTTGATCTTTGGGCATGAGGTTTCAAATTTAAATTCACGTGGATACAGAAAATGTCTTGACAATGCTCGAATCTGAAATAGTCCAGAAAAGCAAATGAAAAGACACCAAATCATGTCACGGGCCCTGTAGTTTTATTTGTTTTTTTCAAACTACATTGTTTTCCTCCCACCACTGAAAGTGAGGGACAGGGTGCTAAAATTTCTGTACAAATAGAAGGGGCTTGTAAAATAGCCACTCAATCTGCTGCCAAATAAATCAAAACAGAGTAGCTTAGGCTTCGTACATCACTGTTCATAAGTTTCAACATGATCCTCTGTTTTTTCCTAGCTTGTAAGCTGGTCATGATATATGGTACTGTTTCTTTTAATACTTCCCTCTTCCATACGATATAATACATTCAATTTATTTGTGGATTAGCTTTAGGTTCTATGCAGTACCAACCATTATCCACTAGAAGCATAGTGGAAATGGAATCTTATTATGCTGCAGCTAAAGTCAAAGTCATTTTCAACAATCATCGAGTGTTTTCTGGAGTACTCTGCTACGACAAGAACTTCCGCTGAATGGAAGTAACATTACCGGCCTAAGGGCAAAAAGAGAAAAGGAAAGAAGGAAAATTGAAAGTAAAAACAGGAGGAGAGGGTCGGAGAAATTGATTGATGGAGAAGATAAATAATTATGGGACCCATTATTTTATTCATTCTATAAAGATTTAAAAATAATTATGGGGCCCATAACTCTAAAATTTGTGATTTAATGGCCCCTGATTAAACTCATGACAGGTGAAAGCAGACTTCTCTCACCACATGGCATGGAATTGGAGAATTGGAGGAAAAATTTTTAATTGTATTATTTCTTTATAACTGTGTATATTTATATTTTCAAATCCAATTCATTAATTTTTTTTAATATATTTCCCTCTACACAGATGAAGGTAAGATTAATGTCACTTGAGTTGAAACATTGCTAATCTGAAAGGGCATGGATAATTTCAAGTTTTAAAAACACCTAGCCAATAACCTGTCTAAAAATAATTTCTTTTCAATCTGTCAAAAGGAATATATAATACTTTAATCCTAAGCTGAATATGTTTTCCACATCGTTGCACAAATTTGTTCATGATATATAATTCAAGTGAGTCTCAATTGCAAGAAAAATTACAAAAAATTTTAAAGCATTTTTTTTAACGCGCACCTTTCTCTTCAAAATTTTTAATCTTTCAATTTTTATTTAGATTAATTGATATTTCTAATTACATAAATTTTCATGTGCTTCCGCAAACTCAGAAATTTAGCCCAACTCGCTCCCAACCCGCATGGTTGGGCTTAGCACATTACACTCACTATGACCCAAAGGCCCAAAGAAATCTGCAATTAGCCTTTTTTTTAAGGGGAAAAAAAAGGTGAGACGGAGGGAGCGAGGGAAGCAGCATCCAGAGTTAAAAAACAAAAAAAGAGGGAAGGAAAAGGAGGAGAGAAAGGAAGGACAGGAAAAGAAAATTGCCGGGGCAAGGGGATTTGGGGAGGGAAATCGAGAGCAACTGCGAGACTGTGAGTGGTGTGCCAGATTTGTTTAGAATGTCTGAATGATTCTAACGAGGGGGGAAGGAAGACAAGGCCTAATGGTGGACGATTGAATGATTCATGCGAGCGTTGAATTGTGATCTAATGGTTTCTTCATTTCTGAGGTTTAGGGAGATGCTCTTCGCATAAGAAAGTCCTATTGTTCGATTGTGCCTTCGTCTGAAGTGGCCTCCAGCTATGGCTTTGGTTGATATAACCAAATCCTGCATCGATTCCATCAGACAGGTAATTGCTTTCTGATGATGAATCTTCTGTCCATGTTGTGTCCAAGCTTGTTCATAATGCAGCAATAGTTCGTCTTTTTGTGCGGTGTAATTATCTCTTCAGTATACTGACTGAAGGAAAGTTGAGCTTAGTTGGTTTGCTTATTTAAGCTGGTAAGAGCACGGGCTGCAGAACTATGATAAGAAATCAAAGATGTCTGCCCTTTTGGTGTGCATTGCTGAGTTGAAGTTTATAATGTTTTTATTTCTTCCTTTATGCCTTTACGCGGTGTAAATATTCTGCAATTAGACGTGCAGGCTTTTAGTTCTCCTATTCAGAATACTTAATTTTGGTTCTTAAGCACAATCTGAAATTAGGCTTGGTTTAGGCTACTTGATTCAAAGCTAGTCTTTTGACAACCGAGTAAGGAATAAAGAGAAACGGATTTGGCAAAACTTATTTTGCTGGAACGTGGAACATATGTCATTGCTAGAAAAGAACCTGCCCTTGCCTCTAGTTCGTCACTAATTCAAGGGCCAAATTCCAAAATGGGAGCGATTGGGTGGATTCTGGGTCTCCGTCTGTGTGTCTGCGCGCCCCCGTAAAAAATGATGAGTTAACTACGATCAGAGAACACAGACCCCTTGCTCGTGGATCCTTTCAAGCTCATAGAACTTATGTCTGTTTCTCGAGTCCATGGAGGATGTCACTCTGGTTGCATACTTGATGATGGATCCTTGAGTGATGCTGAAACAAGCTTCTTAGATTCATGCACTGTAACTTCATGACTTCTTACAAATTTATATATTGAAAAAATTTAACTTGATGGAGTGACTTTCTTTTTTTCTCTATTTTAATTTTAATCTCATTGAAAGCTTGCAATGATTCCATCCATGGAATTAGTGGATTGCCATTGTAGTCGCTGTATGCATCTCACAAGCGCCTTCGAATTTGAATTTTGTTCTTGAATACTGGCTTATTATTCTTGTTGTGATCCTTTTTATCTGATGCCTGCCTGAATGTTCTGCATGGTCTATCTTTTATTTCAGATACAAGAGCATATTGAAGGTGCCATTGTTTACTTAGATGCTGGGTGCACAGAAAGTTTCCAGTTTATTGGTGCATATCCCGTGCTTCTGGATGTTGGAGCCCGAGCTATCTGCAGTTTAGAAAACATGTGTTCACTTGATGTGGTAAATAATTGTGTGATATGTTGCTCAGTACGTCTTTCTTTGCTTCCTGCAAGCCAAACAAATTTGATAACTATTTAGCAATCCATATATGTTCAAAAGGAAGACAATTTCAGGATTTATTTTGTGTTTATAAAAATGTTCTTTAAAAATGGATTTTGTATCAAGACACAACATGGAAGTTATATGTCAGTTGCTTTTTCACTTCATAAATGTACTTGCCCTTTCACTGCTAAACAAGTACGGCTGAACTTATATGTAATATTTTGCACTGCAGCTGGCATGATGTGAATGGATGCTTCTAATTCACTGATTCATTCTTTTTTAGAAACTCTGTCCCAAATATTTTCATACTGTAATAATTCATGGTTTTACTTAGGGAGGTTACCTTAATCATTTTCTACTTTTACATATGCCTTGTTGTTCAGGTGGTTGATTGGAACTCATTTTCTGATCCTGCAAGGAAACTTGTCATAATCACATCGTGTTTACTAAGTGATGCACATCGATATATTTTACGATGCCTGAGCACACATCAAGTTGTCCGTCATTGTATCATATTTACATCAATCTCAGAGGTGCTTATTAGTTATTGCCCTTGGCTATGTGTCTTGTTTGTTTTCTTTTTTGGACTCTATGCATCTCTGGATTTTATTGCTTAGTTTTACAAACTCAATGTGGAGGTCACCTATGAATTTGATTTTATTATCGTACTTTTTGTTAATTTATGACATTCCATAAATTAGTATTTGGGCCTTACAAATATGTATCATAATTTGATTTAAATGAAAGCACGGTGAACGTTTTTTCAGAAACAGATTGTGTTATATGTTGTCTAGTAAACAGTAATGAGGTAATATGATCTCAATTTATTCCCTCACTTTTGCCATACTATATTTGTAGTCCTGTCAAGCAGATTTTTCGCATTATCATCTAATTTTAGACAGACGAATCCACCGTAACAACTGTTATATTGAATTATTGATACTCCGATCCTTAATGTAAGACCTAATTAACTAATTTGAGTAGTTTAAGAACGTTAGTTAAATTAGTTAATGTAATATTTTTTTCCCTAAAACACCTTAAGCTTTTTCTTGAATTCTTCCCCTTACTTACTTGATTATTGTTGGGGGAATATCAATAGAGCTAATTTGGGAAAAATTGATAAACTTGTGAAATAGGTTTTACATATAGGACTAACATCAACTTCCCAATTAGGTTCCCTATTAAGGACTGGAGGAGTAATATTCATCCATGCAATGATGGTCCAGTACGATTTTTAAAATGTTAAATATATTATTTAATGATGCTAATATCTCCAAAAGCCCTATCCTATCCCATTATATAGTTTTTTGAATAAGCACAAGTAATTGCAGATCATTTGAAGTTATGTCAATTTGGATAATTGCAAATACTTTTGTTGTGTGTGGTAAGTAGCCATATCTCAGAAAACATCAGTGCAAGCGTTATTTTGGCTTCAAGTTTTGGCCTTTTCATTTCATGTCCTTTGTTTTACTTCATGTTCCTTTTCTTTTGATACCCTAATAGTAGTTGAAACGCAGACAGCTCATTCAGCATTTCCCGATTCACCTCTGGGACCAGATGCATATCAAGAATATGAAGCCTTGCTGATTCAAGATTATGAAGAACTAGTTAGGAAATCTGGGACACATTCTGGTGGAAAGCTTGAAGATGAGGACATTCACACTCTCCTTCCAGTGGAAAGGATGCTCTTCATCATGAAGCCAGTTCAATTGCAAATTTATGTGAAGATAATCCATTAGGCTACATTGAAGGTGCAGGGCCAAGATTGGCTGTTTCTGTTAATCATTTTCCTTTGATTTTATGTCCCCTTTCTCCAAGAGTATTTGTTCTACCTTCAGAAGGGTTGGTAGCTGAAGCATACTTATCAGCCGACCATGAAGATTCCATCAGTCCTGGATTGCCTCCTCTAAGTACTGGAGTGCTCTCTGATGCTGATGATGTGCCTCCAGGGGCAACTCTTACTGCTCACTTTCTGTACCACTTGGCATCAAAGGTAACTACTGATGTGCATCCTTTTGATGAGATGTCAGCTTACTTTGGTGACTTATTTCAGAAGCTGTATATTTGTGAGGCTTCTTGTTGTCTATTCGACCATACTTCTGGGTTCTTCCCCAGTTAGAAAACTTGCAAAGCTATAAAGACTTCTGTTTCATAACTTTTTAGAGGCGTATGCGTAAGGCCATTGGGATAAAATGAATAGTTTAAATATTATGTAGAGTGTAACTAATCATACATTTCACTTTCATGTTTTTTTTTAGTCCTCTCCTTTAAACCTGATATTTTGTTCGTTATGGCTGTTTTATTCTATGACCATGACCATTTTTCTTCTTAATCATGTAGATGGACTTGAAAATGGAAATTTTCTCCCTTGGTGATATGTCAAAAGTAGTTGGGAAGATTTTGACAGACATGTCAAGTCTGTATGATGTAGGTCGCCGTAAACGATCAGCAGGGCTTCTGCTCATTGACCGCACACTTGATCTTCTTACCCCTTGCTGCCATGGGGACTCGTTAGTTGATTGTATGTTTTCATGTCTGCCCCGTAGGACTAGAACAACTTCACACCCCCAAGTGAAGAGTTCAGGAACCCAACTCAAACATGGCACTTCCTACCTGCAACGTGCTCCCTTAGATGTCCAGATACCACTTTGGAAGATACTCAATGAGGAAGATTTCAACATGGATAATTTTCATCTACTAGAAAGTGTTGAAGCGTTTCTTTGTGGTTGGAATTCTAGCTCATCTGATTGTCAGATGTCCGATTTAATTAGTTTTAGTCAGAAAATTAATGAAAAGTCTCTAAATTCTGATGGAGAGATGCTTACTGGGTCCTTAATCTCCTCTGAAAATTTCCGTGGAACACCATTTTTGGAAGCTTTACTAGATAGAAGAACAAGGGATGGGGCCCTACTTGTAAAGAAATGGTTACAGGAAACTCTGCGCAGGGATAATGTAACTTTGAATGTAAAATCTCGTCCTGGTCATGTTACAAGGCAGGAGTTGCAAGCTATGATCAAAGCATTGGGCAGGAGCCAATCATCTTTAGTGAGAAACAAAGGAATTATTCAATTAGCTTCTGCCACCCTATCAACCCTTGAGGAATCAACTTCCGCCAGATGGGATGCATTTAGCAGTGCTGAAAAGATTCTAAGCGTAAGTTCCGGAGAAACCAGTCAAAGTCTTGCTGCTCAAATTGGCGATCTCATTAATAAGAGTGCTTTATTGGGATCACATGGAAATAAAGTAAAAAAGGAGCTCTCACGGGGGGTGCTTTCGTTGCAAGATGCTTTGTTGTTGATGATTGTTGGATATATATTGGCCGGGGAGAATTTCCCAACATCGGGGTCTGATGGCCCATTCTCCTGGCAGGAGGAACGTCTGTTAAAAGAGGCTGTTGTAGATGCCATTCTTGAAAATCCATCAGTAGCCAAACTCAATTTTCTAGATGGACTAAGGGAAGAGCTTGAAGCTAATTTAAGTAAGTCAAAGTCAGAGGAAACAACCAAAGAATCTCCAAAGTTAGATATTGATGATTTTGATGATGATCAATGGGGAAAATGGGGCAATGAAGAAGCTGACGATGATGAGCAAGTGTTGATGATGCAGCTGAAGTTGGAATTGCGTGATGGATCATCTTTTTAAATTCCTTCATAAGTTGTCCGATTTGAAAAGGCATACCAACAAGGGATGGACCGGACCATGGAAACAGGTGATTATGCTCTCAACGTGTGCTGAAAATTACCCCAACTCTCCATTTCTTCGCATTTCCTGACCATTCTCTCCCTCTGTTTATGCATAACTATTTTCCCCTGACATTATCTGGATGAAAATGCTGCAGGCAAAGCCCAGTCTTGCTGATCAAAATGTCATTTTGGTGTTTGTGATTGGGGGAATCAATGGAGTTGAGGTAAAATTCCTATTTGCATCACTTCTATACTTCATTTTATTTCTCCCCAAACTTTTGTTACCTCTTTTTTGACTAGCTAGCACTTCTGGTTTGGCAACATGGTTATCATGTTGTTGTCGAACATCCAGTGAACTTAACAAATTCTTTACAAGTCAGAGATATATGGATTTTTATTTTTTATACATTTCATGTCAAAAGCAGATCCTTTACACACACACACACACACACGTTATATCTTGTCACTTTTTTATTTTTTGGAGAAAAAAAAAGGCATATTGCTTCCCTTCCAACCCCCCCCCCTCTTTCTGTCATCCTCTCAATTTTCGTCTCCTGATCCTTTGTCCTGTCAACTTTTTTCTGCCGAAAGGTGCGTGAAGCTCAGGAAGCCTTGTCTGAGAGTGGAAGACCTGACATTGAATTGCTTGTTGGTGGAACAACTCTACTCACTCCCAATGACATGCTCGATTTACTATTGGGGGAGTCCAGTTACGTTAGATCCTTTCGGCAATAGAAAATAGCGAAAGAAATCTGATCGAAATTTGTTTTCCTAAATCATGTATGATGTATCTAATTTCATTTTCTTAATTTTCTTCACAAAAGAATTTTTTTCATAAATAAATAATATTTGTTCTTGTGTCAAATCGGGCACTCTAAAGGTATGAATGAAATATACTACCTCCGGTCCTTAATATAAGATCCTGTTTGACTTTTATTTTGGTCCTAAATATAAGACCCCTATCTACTTTGTCTCTTATATTTATACATTTTTTTCCAAGGTAATCCTTCTAATAATTATAGTTCTAGCCAATATAGTTGATTAGTAATGATATTTTAGGAAAGATAACATTTATTTATTACAAATAACTAACTTAACTTCTTTCCTTAATCTCTTCAAATTAGTCAACTAGGTTTTATAATTAGGACCGGAGGTAGTATAAAATTAGATTATGGCTGTTAAGCATGTACTTCTGTATATGTAATTTTGGGCTTCTGGATTAGGATTAGATAGTTGTATCAAGTTCTTGGATCATACTTTCTTACCATAAAAAAGGTTGCACGCACAGCAGCATTAAGTATGAGAAATTCACCAATTCACATGTGATGTGAACATTTTTATATCTGCTGCTGCTGTTTTCACAGACAAGCATCGGACTTAGGTTACCCTATGCCATGATTGCACATCTTGGCTATAAAATACCTGGGTGTCAATTCAGTCTTCTCAAATTTAAGCATTTTGTTTTAATGTTATTTATTTTCATACCAAGTCCTTTCAGTGATTATCAATAGAAATGGTTAATTAAAATGCTAATTTATTCGTGAATTTAATGAATTTTTAGTCTCTAAATACCTTTAAAATGTATAAAGACCCCTGCAATATTTATTCGAGGACTTTATTCAGTTGTATTTTATCATGTCATAGCACGTTCAAAAAGTAATTAAGGCATATTTGGATTTTTATAATAATAATCAATTATGAAATTTAAAATCATGATTTTCTTGCAAAAATACTCAAACATATTTATATACGTGAAAATGAATTATAAACCTAAAAACAAGCACCTCTTAAATATTTAACTATATCACAGTAATCATGCATTATCTCATCAAATCATTAATTATTTGTTGATGGGTAAAGATGGATTTTAAAAAAAAAATAAAGAAATGAGATAATTAAATGATAAAAGATAAAATCCTAAAAAATTGTATTTCTTTTTTCTTTTTAGCCAGAATAAAAAATTGTCTTTCTAAGGACCAAAAAGTTCATCTCCAATATGAACCAATAATAATATGATCAAATATGCATTTTTAAACGGGAGTCATCTAATAGAGTGATCTCCAGCTACAGATTAGTTGGCCGGAAAAACTATAGATCCAGTGACCCAAACCATGTTTGATTCTTAACTCGATGCATGTACTTCACTCTGTTGTCTCGAGATCAGCGGGGCAGGCACCGAGCTCCTACGCTGGGGTCTCTAAACCTTCAAAAAGGGGTTTGGATTCTCTCAGCGGCCACGTCCTCAGCGTCCCAATATCTACCATCAGAGTAATCTAAAAACTCACAATGTACCACGTCATCAAGCTGTTAAAAATTAAAAATAAATCTAATTAATGCTATAAAATTTCTTCTTGTTTTTTTTTTTAAAAATGAACTATTATTTTGAAAAAGAAAATTTGAGTGCATCATCTAATTTCTTAGATACATTTGTTTTAGCCGTAGAGTTTAATAAAAATCTAAATTAATATAAATTGAGTTAGATAGAACCACAAAAAGAGGTAGAACTCTACCATCAAGTATTTTAATTAAAAATTTAAAAAATAAAATACTCAATATTGTTTTGTCACTCTTTGTTTAGATAAATCTTTCAATTTAAGCTGGATAAGTCCAAAAAATTATATATAAATATTTGATGGTCAAGTTTTTTTATTCTTTATGATTATCTATATAAGTTTGGAGCGTGAAAATCTCATAAATTCTTTAATTAAAATGAGCCAGGTGAAAAAAAATTGGGTATTCCATGCTAAAAATATCCTAGTTGAAATCTAGTAAAAAATTTTACACTATAATTGAGATTTATTTCTAATTTCTAATTTTTAATTTTACATAATATAATCTGTGTTAGATTCATTTTAACGGCTGCGATTTGGACGCTGAGGGGCGCTGAGGGCGGGGGACGCTGAGAGTATCCTCTTCCTTCAAAAAGCCCTCTGGTTCGTGTGCACTCGCACCGTCGCACGAAGGCTGCTACGCTAATATGGCGGCCCTGAAACTGCTTCTCTCTCAAGCTCGACGCCATTACCTCACCAATCATCATTCTCATTTCCACTCTTCTCTTTTTCTTCGGTCTCGGAGATCCCTTTGTTCTTCGTCTTCTTCTTCACAATCCGATGAATCAGACTCAAAATCTCCACCCTCTCCAAGTAGACCCACCCCAACCATTTCAATCCAACCCGTTTCATATCCGGTTAAACCTAAAGACCCATCGCCTCCAGATAATGCTGAATCCTCCGAAGCTAAATTACAAAATCAATCGCCGGCGCCACCACCTCCTCGCCGTCCACGGGGACCGACATTGGCGGAAGATACCGCTGAGTCACGGCGGGCTTGGACCAGGGAAGATATTCGGTATGTAAAGGACGCACCTTCGATAGCTCCGGTGTCCTATCCTTTGCGAGTGGCGCCGCTTCCTGAAGATAAGACTGCTGCTGGTGCTGAAGCAGGAAAGGATGATGGCGCGAAGGCGAACGAGGAAATTGAGAAAGAGACTAGAAAAATTAGGGCGGATGATCAGTTGAAGAGGAGAGTTATTAGAGCTGCGGAAGAGGAGAAGGTGCGGGTTCCTTTTCCAACTCTGATAAAGGTGAAGCAAAAGGAGAAGCCGCCTATCCTTGATTTGACCGAGGCAATTCGCCAAGTTAAGGTCGGGTGAAAGGCCTATTTTGAATAAGAAGTTTTTGTTTATTGCTGAAACATAATCAGATTAATAGATACACGGGATCACTTAAGCTGCGTCAGGTTGATATTTCTTTTACTCAATATTCCTCACTAAACTGGACACTGCAGATGCTAGCTTAGGCCCGAAATTTAGTATTTGTACGTGGTGCTAACCGAAGACCAGAAAAGCCTGTATGCTTGTGGAATTTCTATTGCAGCCATGGCTACTTCTATAGGATATCTGATTCGTGACTTGCTAAACGCAGGCTAGGAACCACACGTCATGATACTATATTTTAAATAATACTAGGTGGCTTTCTCTGTATGCAAGTTACAATCCCTTGTCAACAGCAATATATCAAAACTCCTTCCACGTTGAAGTGGACTAGAGAAGGGTAGCCTGTGCGGCTCTGCATATGATATATAAACACTGATGGTCTTCTGGTGTTATAATCTGAAACATATTACTAATTTGCAATGATGATCTGAAGTTTACTGCAATGAGTCATTAATATGTAGATGGAAAGGTGGATCGATTCTACTTATGTATTCTTTGTAATTTCCTTTTCTTAGTTATGCAGATCATAGGCTCTATTAAATTTTAATTGGGTGTATAAGAATGCCTATGATAGATATATGAATTTATCATTTTAGACTTTTAGCATTTTCTGTTTTAAAAATAAGCCGATGCTAACTATGACTTAGAATAGATGATGATATGTACCAAAGAAGCAAACACATGTATGATACCCTATAATGAGTGATTCATTCTGTTTTTGTTTTTTGTGTTTTTTTTTTTTCAGCTCCACATTTTTGGGGATTTTATACTTTCATTATATATATATATATATATATATATATATATATATATTGTTCAGGAGCATTTGGCATTCATGGCGATAATCTGTTTTTTTTTTTTTGGTGTTAATTTGAAGTTGATCATTGGTAACTTCAGTTGATATCTTTGATTGTTGTTCAGGCCAACGCAAAGGCAAAATTTGATGAAACCGTCGAGGTGCATGTAAGATTGGGTATTGAATCAAAGCGAACAGAACTGGTATATGCCAATATATCTTAAAATTTTATTTTTCAGTTTTGCTTCATTGTATAGTAAGATGTAAAATCGGAGTTTGGTATAGATACCTCTTAGGCAAGGCAGCTTTGACATATTTAACAAGTTGTAGACTCTTTTTGGTTTCCTCTGAAGTTGGGAGCGATATGTTTTGAAAAATTAGTATGTTATGGTTCTTTGAACTGAATATGAATTTATAAGTGTTCACGTCATGCTGTCTAGCTGCCATTGTATTGTCTATAATGACCGAAATGCCCTGGTGCAATCCACTTAACTTTTATCGTTATTTTTCCTTTTTGAATCGACAGTTATAGAGTCTGTATGACCTATTTTATTAGGCCATTCTGTTGATAAGTAACAGTAAAATCTTTTCACAACATTGTTTTTTTTTGGAAGTTCTGATGGCTGTGTATTTTGAATTTATTTTTCATTTTTTGTGGAATGAATCATTTTGGGAAGTTTTTCCCATTAATGCCTCCAAACCTTATTAGCAAAAGTTTCGCTGTTATCTCTTCTGAAACATTTTGTACTCACCTGCTGCAAGCTTTATTACGTGTTATTTTGTTACTCATATTTCATTAGGAGATTACAATTTCAACTTTTTGGCAGGCAGTTCGCGGTACTATGATTCTTCCTCATGGCACACCTAAGGTAATATATGGGTGTTTATTTATTCTTATAGTTGTAGTTATGTCACCTAATTACACACAGTTTCCAGGCCGTCAGTGTGGCTGTTTTTGCAGAAGGAGCTGATGCGGAGGAAGCTAGAGCTGCAGGAGCTGATATAGTTGGGGCTAAAGAGCTTATTGAGGAGATTGCTAGTAATGAACTATTCCCTTTTTTCTAACAATTTTGTCCATCGCATTGATTAGCTTTTTACCATACTAAATCTTTTAAAATTGAATTTACAAGTTATTTCTGTCTACATACACATGGGGATCAACTAGTATGTTGTGCCTATTAAGGCAAATATATGACTATTTTTTGTTGAGTGGTTGTATGCTTAGTTCAAGGAATGTGTTGACTAACACTGATAATGTAGGGGAGATGCTAATCATGATTGAGCGCCTTACCGTTTGTAACTTGTTCTTTTGATGCTAAGAATATGTAATCGCTCAAGTATAATTTAATGCATTAATTATTTTCTATCCAAAAGTCTAAAGTATTATTGATCATCTGCTTCCATAGATGGTAATAACAAGCTTAGAGTTGACAAGTGCTTCTCAACTCCAGGAATGGCACCTCATCTTGGAAAGGTACTTTGTAATTATAATGGTTATATACCTGTAAAATCTAAATCAATGTTTACTTTTTTCTAGAGCTTACGTGAACTATTCTGCAGATAGCACAATATCTTAGAAAACGTAGACTGATGCCAGACAAGAAAGTAAGCTCCTCAACACTCCCTTGCACTTGTTCTCTTTTTTTGGGGTGGTTGAAATGTAAATTGCACACCTTCCCCCCCCCCCCCGGGGGGGGTATTGCAAGGCAAGCTAGCGCTTGAAAATTACACCTTTAACTCTTGTTGGCTGTATTAATACTTTCTGCAGCTAGGTACTCTGACCAGTGATATTCCTGGGCAGCTGAATGAGCTGAGACAGGGTCGTGTGGACTTTAAAATGGAAAGCAAATCAATTGTCCATGCGGGAATTGGGAAGGTACAATTTTTTCTTCCAGCTCATGATGGACTTGGTATAATAAGGAATAATTATGTTATGCATTACATATAATCTGTTATATACTCACAGTGATATCCACAGGTAAGCTTCAGAGAGGAGCAATTGCGTGAAAACATAGGTGCATTCATGAATGCTCTATTGGCTGCCAAGCCTGCTGGCTTAAAGAAGAGTAAGTGGCACAGTTTTCCTTGTTACAGTTTAAATGTCTGGGCATATTTAACTACACCCGTATATCCCCTCTTCCTAAGGCTTTGATTGGCAAGTGGCTCAATCTGGCTTAATATTGTACTTGATCTTGCTTGAACTTCGGCAAGTTTGGTTTGGGAGTCAACTTATAAAGACTTTCGTTTGGGGTCTGTCTTAAAGACCTTATCTACAACCTGTGATAGTTATGCTCAATTATTATTCCATAAGGATTGCTATCATTTACAGCAGCTCTGTTTTCCTTGTAACTGTTTTGAGTCCCAAAACATCTAGAATTTGACTTGCGTTTAAATTCCAAAATGGAAGCTCAGCCTTTCCACGAAGGCAGAAGTTTTGGTGGCTCAAATAGCTTGAGTGGCTCTTCCCCGCCCTCCTTTTTTAAATAAAATTAAAAGACTGCATTGGCAGGGACCAATATTAGTTTGGTACTGTCATTATTGTTTTTGTTTCTACTTGACGGTTTTGTTATGATTACCAAGTGTATGTTCTAAGTTGACTTCTATCTATTGATCTCGTTTCTGTCTTATTTGCTGTTCAGCTTCAAAATATGCTGGATATGTCCTATCTGTCCATATGAGCAGCACGGTAAGCCTATAAACCTTTGCCTTATTTTCATTTTTATACGCTGCATATGGTCGATTTAAAGTTATAAACTATTTCATTATAACTGGTACTAGTACGTAGGCTCCTTTTGCCTGGAAACACCTAGTCATATTTTAAACTCCATACATTAGCAAACAATTCATTCGCTTGACGTCCATCGGTTTATCTCCTGTTGCCATCGTGATAAGTTCCATTAAAGTGAAGAAAGTTGATGAGAAACAAAAACCTGTATTTTTATTAATTGTACCCTTTTTTTTGGGGGGGGGGTTCAAGATTCTACTGTATTGGAAAAAAATTTTATTGCTGTTTTCTTTCTTTCTAGTGATTCAGTTGAATGGTAATGTTGCAGATGGGCCCGGGGTACCCTGTTTCAATACAATCCTTATCAAGAGCAGCTGATAATTACAAGTCTCTGAATCTGGTATGATGTGGTCTGAGCTTCTGGCGTCAATCTGAGTTTTGATCAACATATTTTTTATTTTTTTAAAAAGGGTATAATATTCAAAAAGAATACCAGACATCATAATAAAATGTCGGGCAAAAATACAATTTCCGTTAACTGCCCTTAACATCTGTTGCTTTTTTTTTTGTGTGGGTCCTACCAAGCAAACATGTGTCCAATGCTTTGCTATGAAATCTCCCATTTTGGTCAATTCTTCGTCCCTCATGCTCTGTCACAGACCCTTCTCTTTTCATCTCTCTTTCTCTCTCCCCTTCCCAGTTCCCTCTCTTCTTTGCTTTCTCTTTCTTCCCTTCACCCATTGTCAGTCACAACCCCTCCTATCTCTCTCATTACTCACTCGCCAGAATTTGGAAGCCATGAACGCCGGCACCGCCATCTTCCGCTCCATTCTCGACAAGCCCCCTAGTCAACTCGCCAAGGATGAGATTTCCCAGCTCTTTTGTCCTTCTTCCCTTCCAAAATTTTCGCCACCTGGAACTTGCTTAGGCGCAGGAGAGAGAAGGCGATGGGTTCGGTGACAGTTTTGCCAAAAAAACAAGAAAGAAAAGAACGATCAAGAGAATGTGGTGGGTTTGGTGAGAGTTTGATCCAGACTCTGATTTTTTGAGCTTTCTTGGTTTGATTTATGTTTCTGATGCGAGGAGGGGGTGTGGATTGCCGCTTTTTTCTATCCAAATAATCGATCTATCTGTGACTGCAAATTGGTGGAAGATGATAACTGGAAAGCGCTCACTCACTCACTCACACTCTCCTCTATTTTGCTTGAAGCTTTAGGTCCCTCGGTGATACTCTAATGGTGGGGAAGGCCGCGATCGTGGAGGAGAGGAAGAAGTTGTGCACTTTTTTTTTTTTTTTTTTCCCAACTCAAATATTATTTTGTCACATTTGTCTCCAGCTCATCCTTTTTTGTCAAAACGTTCCTTGTAAACGGTCAACGTTGTTCAATTTAACACCAGTAGCATTTTAGGGCCCCTTTGAATCATCTTGGGTATTTTTTCTCCTAATATTTTATTATGGGGTTTGATCCTCCTTTTTGATATTATAATATGTAAATTTGTCTCAATTTTTCTTTTTTTAAAACTTTCATCATTTCATCATTGATTCTATAAGGTTGCTTGAAGCCTTGTGTTATATGTGACAATTGATCAGCTAGACTTCCATTTTTAGCAAGTTGTGTAAGCTTGTAGCATGTTAGGCTTTTATTGTAGTTTCAGAATTACCCTTTGGAAATATGATGTCAGGATTGAAAGCAATTCAAAGTGACGAGTTATTGAATCTTGCAGTTTTGGCTATCTGTTAAGCCACTCTTGGGGCACGGATGCTATCATGCATAAAATTTGCTTGGTTTTTTTTTTTTTTTTATATTTTTATGACCATGAACTAAAATCTTCTTGGTTGTTTCTTATAATTATTATATGTAAAATCGAAGAGCCAGTTTGCTATGCGGATATTTTATTTTTGATATGTCGAATATGCTGCATTCCTGTGCTCATGTCACCCGTAACAAATGGCCCGTCGGCCTTTGGAGGTCATGGGCAGGGGACCGAACAATCAAAGGAAATGAAATGAAAAACAAATTTTAGCAGATGTTAAAAAATATAAAAAATGATAAAAAAAGAAATTAAAAATTATTAAATTTTAAATTAGGTTTGATAGCAACTTTTTATTTAGTGTTGACAATATTAAGTTTGCAAATAACAATAAATTTTAGTTAACATTTCTTATTTAATATTTAGTAATTTTCAGTTTTTTTTTTAAAAAAATAAATACAACTAAATAAAAAATCTAAAGAATTTATTTTAATCCTAAACCCTAAATTTACTTCGCTGCTTTGCACTGATTGGCTCTTTTGCTGTTAAGGGTATATGATTATTTATAGTGTAGCTTCTGAAGACCATTATATTTTAACTGTTCGTAGACTGCCCTGACTCCTGAATTAACTTGTTTTTTCCTGCCAGCCTGAACTAACTATATAAGCCGTTCGCAAATAAATTGTGTTATAAATTAATTCTTATATTTGGGATGGAAGGTAGTGTTTTTTTTTAAAATATATATACCCATATTTAATGAGGATAGTAAAAGGTGGAAATCATTTAACTTTCATGACAAAATTATTGTTTGTTAAGTGTTATTATTGTTATGGATAAATTAATAAATTAGTCGGTGAATTTTTATAGCAGGAAGGGAGCATATTATTATATTACTCCCTCCATTCCTTATTATAAGAGACATTTGATGCTTATGGCATGTTCCTATATATAAGAGACACTTACAAGTCGTCTCTACTTTTTTGTGTTGATTTACTATTTTACCCATATTTATTATCTCCAACTCACACTCTCTCTCCCTCCCACTTCTTTTTCTTTTAATAATTTAATTGTTCTCTCTCATGCTCTCTCTCCTTATTAATGAGGGTATTTTTGGAAAAAAATTATACTTTTTACACATTAATTGTTCTTAACTAATTTTAACTGTTTTTTTGATCAACGTACTTCAGTTATTGATCTCTTATAATAAAGAACCGAGGGAGTAATGTTTAACGAAGTAGATGGTTTAGGAAAAATGACTCGGAAAAAAAAAAAAAAACAAAGGGGACTGTGAAGCTGGAAGAGGGATGGGTGAGTTTTGTCTTATTAGCGTTCAGGTAAATGAATAGTGGCCACCAGCACTGCTCTTTCACTCCCTGACGCCTTCGTCCAATCAGTACTCATTACTGACAATTCTGTCCCCCTCTTTTTTTAATTTTCTTTCTTTACTCCTTTTTCTTCTTATTTATTCAATCACCCCCATGTTTCCCATTATTTTCTCCATAGCCCCGGTTTTGGCAAAAGCTCATTTTTATATTAATATAATATTTGATTCTTTAAATTTATCTTTATTTTAGTTTTAATTTTTAAAATTTTATATCATAAGTTTTAGTTTTTCAAAGTACAAGATGTCTGAGTTTTTATTTGATTACAACAACTGATGTTTTAGATAAAATAAAACTTAAACGATCAAAATTTATAATTTAAAATTTAAGGAACCAAAACTAAAATAAAAATAAATTTAGACAACTAAAAATTATATTAACCTTTAAAAACATTACTTTCACAACCTGAATTTGACTTAATATAAGTCACCCAGTTTTAAAAAAAGTTTACTGTTGATTGGTGAGGCAATATCATATCTACCTAGGGTTAAATATTTGTGCAAGTTAACTTATTCCCTACGCATATAATGTGAATGAAATTTATAATGCTGACTTAGTTAAAAATCTAATCAACTGTAATTACTACTTGAAACTGGCTACTTTTATATCTCGTTTTTATTTTTCTTTTGTTGTCTTTTGCCATTTTAGGGGGGAAAATTTGACATTTTTGTTTATTCTAAATACTTTGCATTTCCTTTTAACTCATAATATTTTTACTTTTAGTAAGTGAATCAAATCAAATTGTCTAAACCATATATTTTTGGCGAATATCTAAACAATTTTTTCTCAACAAAAGTTACACTAACTTCAATCATTCATAACCATCTCTCATAAAATTTAAAATTACATGTTTAACTAAAAATTTATTTTCTCTTACTTCATTAAAGAAAAAAATATTTTGTGCAATTTATTTACTAATTATACTAAAATTTTATCTATATCTCTTCTAGCCTTTGAAATCTTTTCTCAAATTATTTCTTTTATATTTAAAATTTTTATCAATTCTCTTGTTTTGATATATTGTTAATAATATTTCATTACCTTTTTTTTTTGAAAAAATCACAAAAAAACTTTAAAAATAGAAAAGTTGTAAATCGGGACTCGTTATAAGGTACAACATTAGTATTAGTTTTAACAATAGTTGAAAAGTAAATGATAATCATTTCGGTGAATTAGTCCCTGAATATAATTTTTTAATTTTCAAGATATTTTTTTGCTATTTTTTTCCTATTTAGCGTAAATAAAAAAACTCACTTAAAAATGCAGACATACGGAACTGGTGGTGGTAAGAGAAATAATTCATGAAGACAAATAAGAGAGGGCTGGGCCCGCATGCTGCATGGCAAAATGCGAAAATGCGACAATTTCAGGACTAACACGCAAATTTCTCTTTTATTACTGTTCTCCCCGCCACAAAACTCGTAGGCGGAAGCATGCTTCGAAGTTCGAAGTTCCACACATTCTGCTTCTCTCTCTCGCAGTCTCTCGCTCCCTCTCTCTCTCTGACATTTCCGTTCTCGCTTTCTTCAGTCGCTTAGGGTTAGGGTTCTATTCCTTGCTCTCTTTTTCCCAACATCTGGAAAATTTTCCTTGCAACATTTTTAAATGGAGACAGATGATGGGTATAAGAGGAAGGCGGAGATCGCCTTGGTAGTCATCGTGGTGCTCGCTTCCCTAGCCGTGGTTGCTTTGCTTGTGGCACTCAGCTACTATTGCTACATTCGCAACAAAGTCGCCCAGCGCCGCAAGAACCAGAAAAGTGAGCTATCTTTTCTGCCTACGAACAATGATCTCTCTCTTTCTCCGTTTTTTTTTTTTTTAAATACTTTTGTTGGCTTATCGTAAGCACTGTTTGCTAGCCAAGACTCCCTAACACACGAAGAATGAAAAGTTTCAAACTTGCCTAAATAACTACTGAAACTTGAAACTTGATGCAATGGTTTAATGCTTTGTTTTGTTTGAAATTCCAATCTTGATGATTCACATAAACCAGACACAAATTTATTCAGAACATTTTTCCTGTCCAAAAAGTATGTACTTGGTTATTAACTATTACGCCTCTACCATGCATCTGCAAAGTGATGGCCTACACACTGATACATTGTGCTTAATCTAATATTTATTTATTTGAAGATGTTGACCATAGCGAGAAAAGTGAATTTGCAAATCTGCAAGTTGTTGCTGAAAAAGGACTTCAGGTGTTCACTTTTAAGCAGTTGCATTCTGCAACTGGGGGCTTCAGCAAGTCAAATGTGATTGGTCATGGTGGATTTGGATTTGTTTACCGGGGAGTACTCAATGATGGCCGCAAAGTTGCAATTAAGTTCATGGATCAAGCAGGAAAGCAGGGAGAAGAAGAATTTAAAGTAGAGGTAAATTTTTTGCTTGTAGCTGTTTGTCTTTTTGGTTATCCTGGTGATGAGGATACTTTGTATCTCATATAGAATGTTTATTATGCAACATGAAGAGTGAACAAGAGGGGCTTTAATTTGTCTCTTCCTTTTTGGCCAAGAATTGGCTGCGGATAGCAGCCACTGGCTTGTGTTGGCCATGCATTTCAGAGCTGGGTTGAACTGTTTGGTGACTGCAGGTTGAATTGCTAAGTCAGCTGCGTTCTCCATATTTGCTGGCATTGCTCGGGTACTGCTCTGATAATAATCATAAACTGCTGGTGTATGAGTTCATGGCCAATGGTGGTCTGCAGGAACATCTTTATCCTGTCAGCAGTAAGTAATTGATCATTTAAAGTAAAAACTGATCAAATATCTTTAGTTCAATGACTTGTGAAGTTGAAGTTCCATGAATGGATAAGGCACTAGTATTTGCAGCTTATTATGCAGTGTAGTATTTTCCCTTCTCAATCAATATCCCAATTCCTCAGTTCCCACCCTCCACATCAACAAACATTCTTCTGAAATTTTGGCATAACTTCCTCTGCTTTGGCTATATATGAATCACAACCCTTCCACCCTAGCTGCACGCCTCTGTTGAGCCAATTTACTGACTAATGTTTATAGTCATTCATACAACCTCATGAAATGTAGAGGTTGTGCGCTTGAAGCATGAAAGAAACGAGTTAAACCTGTTACTGTGAATGGTTGATTTATTTTCACGTTTTAAAAATATTTAGCATTTGATTTCTTGGTCTGATTAGATATGTCATGGTCCTGTTACCTCAAACATTTTTCATCAGGTATCACGGACCATGTTTTGGCCTTGTTAAATTAAATGCATGCCAGTAATTGGAGTAAGATTTTCTTCCTAATTTGCAAAACTTAGCTAGCTGAAAGCCTTTCTATGAATTAATTATTCACAATATTCCTTTCATTTTACACAACCTGGTCTACAACCTCAAGGAATCTGATGAGTGAGAACCTTTTTTAAGTAAATAAAAATTGAACATTGAAATGCACTACATGGCACATGCTCAATAAAGTCAATATGTAACTCTTAAAAGTTTATGGGGAATTAGTAGGCTGGTTTATTTAATTAACCAAGTTCTTGCTGAAGTCTTGGCTGTTGAACTGAAGATTGATTTTACATAACATGTGAGGCTGTCAAGTTTTCGGCTATTGGATGTCTTTCCCTTCCTCCATTTTCTTTTCTGCATCTATATTGTACTGTTAACTTCCCCTCATTTGTCCTCTATGTAGACTCTAATATTATGCCTATGAAGTTGGATTGGGAAACCCGTTTACGAATAGCACTTGAAGCTGCAAAGGGTTTGGAATATCTTCATGAACATGTCAGTCCCCCCGTGATTCACAGGGATTTTAAGAGCAGCAACATTCTTCTGGACAAAAAGTTTCATGCAAAAGTTTCTGATTTTGGATTGGCAAAGCTTGGATCTGATAAAGCTGGTGGACATGTCTCCACTCGAGTCTTGGGAACGCAGGGATATGTTGCTCCTGAGTATGAAACTGAGTTTTTATTTGCTACTGAGTTATTCTGTTTATGCTGTATCTGTTAAGGTTGTTATCATTGTTCCCTTACATCTAATAATCTGTTTTGGTGTGGTTCGTGATCCAGATATGCGCTAACAGGGCATCTAACCACAAAATCAGATGTATACAGTTATGGCGTTGTTCTTTTGGAGCTGCTCACTGGCCGAGTACCAGTTGACATGAAGAGACCACCAGGAGAAGGCGTTCTTGTTTCTTGGGTGTGTTTGCTAGTTTTTTCCCCCTCACCCACCAAGTTAACAATGTGTTGGTTTTTGTACTTGGTGCTAATTCTTCAATCATTGAAATAAATTTGCATGCCTGGATTTTAGTTGTGGGCAGAAGTAGGTCTCCTTTGTAGTATATCCATGTTCAATATTTATTCTTCTCTCACAAAGTTATTTGTCCTGTTTCTATTTAGGCTTTGCCCCTTCTAACTGATAGAGAAAAGGTGGTAAAGATTATGGATCCTGCATTGGAGGGTCAGTACTCCATGAAAGAGGTTGTCCAAGTAGCTGCCATTGCTGCGATGTGTGTGCAACCAGAGGCCGATTACAGGCCCCTCATGGCAGACGTTGTCCAGTCACTAGTTCCACTGGTGAAGACTCACAGATCAACCTCAAAGGTCGTGAGCTACTCTAGTTACCATGCCAATAAGATGTCGCCTGCTCAAGATTCAGTAAGAGCAAATGCATAACACTAGTGTAAATGGAGTTTCAATATTTGCTTATTTAACCTTGGTTTATGTACTGACCAAAAACAAGTTAGGCTTGTGCATCTTTCGTAGCCTTGAGCCATGTCTTTAGCAGAAAAGATAATTAGGTTGTAATGGTGATAGATGGTTCAATGAGAGATTTGACTTGGTTAAGTAAGTTACTGATTAATTTGCACCGAAAAGCTCTGTTCTTTTCTAAGACAACAAAAAGCTATAATTTTATTTTTTTTGGCTAGCAACCAAAAAGCTATAATTAATGCATCGTGTAATGAAATTGTTTTAGGATGCTACTTGTGAACCACTCAAGTAGTGTCTGGAGAATAAATTTCACCTTTCATTTGATGTTATATTTTATCGAGATTAATAATCAATGCCAATTGTATTATTAAAATCAGAATTGATAAATAATCTCACCAATAAAGCAAACGTCCTTCGCCTCCACCAATTGGAGCCATAATAGAGGGAAGATGCCCCCACATTAGGGACACAAAAAATCTTAGACTTATAATATTTGATCTTTTAGAAAAAAATAAAGCAGATTTTGGAGTCAATATATTTAATACTCCTGATTCTAAGTAATTTTCAATATGTTTTATGCAGATTAAAAAAAACCTTAAATCTCATTGGTTTTCATTTAAAATTTGATAATTTTTTAATTTTATTCTTAATACATTATACCTGAGGTAATCAAAGCCAACATGATAATAAATGAATAATAAAATTATATATTTATATAAAAATTTCTTTCAATACATTATAAATAAGACAAAAAAATGTCTTTTTTCTTTGTATTATTCATATATCAAGAAATATAATAAATAAATAAAAATAAATTTAATTTTACTCTTATTAAAATTTTGTCTATTTATATTTATAAATTATTTTTATATCTCTCACTTCTTTCTCTCTTTTCAATAACAATTAAGTAAAAATAAAATTAAAAAACATAAATATTATATATACTATAAGTAACTTTAGAACCAAATCTTCTTCTTTATGAAAACAGTGAAAGGTACATAAACAAAGCAAATACAGCCCATCAAAGAAGAAAAATTGGGCATGTGGGCCAGCTCGGCAGCTGGTCAAATAAAGAGCTGATAGAGACATTAGATGGACAAGTTGACTCATCTTCCCATCCAATCATTATTCGTATTGGCATTTGATAGGCTCATCAACCATTAATTATTAGCATTGCCATAACTCCCAACAATATTCGCATTATTAGTCAGTAAATCAATTTGTTTTTCTCTATCGTCAATGCATCTATCAATTACGGCGCATTATACTCCATCTTGTTCTTATTATAAACCATTTTTTATAAGAAATGTATAATCCTTATTATAAGTCACTTAATGAGATATTAATTAAATTTTTTCATATCACTCCTTTAAAATCATTTACTATGGTAAAGAATGTAATATAAATATATCTATGATTAGTATGTACAAAGAATAAATATACTAAAGTGAAATTTATATTATATCTCTCTCTTTTTTCAATAAGATAATGTACAAAAAACATACTAATAGTTTTGAATTTCTATATATTGGTGTTCGATGTGACCACCACCACAAACAATGAACAAGTTGGGGAAAAAAAGAGGGAGTTACTGTTCACACGTTCAAGTTCCAAACCGTGGAATGGATATGACTTTAATCTTGAGGCGTGTTTGGTTGACTGGGGAACAAGTAACATAAAACCAGGATTCTTCATTAATTAATTACACAACTCCTACAGTGCATCAATCAAAGTAGGATATATATGTTGCATTCTTTTTCAATCCAATGACTTTATCGGATTTTATTTCAGTATTATTGTCGACCATGATCCATGCATATAGCCTTTTTCATTTACCAAGTTTAAATCCTTATATAACTTTATTGGCTAGTGAAAATCATGTCCCTTTAACTTGTTTTTTCTATACTACTCTTCCGATCTTTAATATAGGACCTAATTATTGAGTTAATTTTAGTCATAAATAAAAGACCCATTTATCATATTTATCAATTTTCTCTAAATTATCCCTATAGATACTTCTTCAACCATAATCAAATAAAAAAGGGAGATAGTTTTAAGAAAGATGATTATGGTGTTTTAGGAAAATGTGTCACTTTTCTTATAATTAAATAACTTACCTAACTTCCTTAATCTAATCAAATTAGTTAAATGAGTCTTATATTAAGGATCGGAGGAGTATTATCTAATATTCGGTGCTTTTTTTGATCCCTTTCACTTGTTTATTTTTTTTGGTTTTCTATCACTGTTTATTAATTGCTAATATTATTATGGATATATCATACACACACATGTATTCCCTCATAGAATGTGCTCTGAATCCTTCTTATAAGGCATTTGATAATTTTTAAGAGTATTAAATATAGTTATATATATCCATATTTAATAAAGACACAAAAATAAAAAATTAATATAATGTTGAAGTTCAGCGTAGTTAATAAGAATAATATGAAAAAATTACTTAAATTTCATATATTACGACTTTAATATTTTTAACTATTTTATTTGTATATGTGAATTAGCCAGAAATAATTTAGTATGAGTACCGTAAAAAATATCCTCTGTGAGAAAGTGACAATCAAGAACAGTAGTATATTGTCCAAGTAAGGAAAATCACAATATTTATTAGGGCATTAAAATATGGAATGCAAATTTCGCACCTCAAATCACAACCAATCATCCTATTATTCGGGCTTTGATTTTCATTCAATTTTTTGTCGGGCAAGTTGAGTGAAGTTACGTTTGATATTTTTTTTTAATTTCATAAAATGAATGATTCAAAAATAATAGCCGAATTCCACTGTTGAAAACTAACATGTTTCTAACTCTTACTATTATTGCCAATTAATTCTCATAGAGTCTTAAAGTATTTATTAAGGTCAAGGGGCATGGCTAGGATTAAAGCATTTTTCCTCAAATAAATTGGATAAAAGTTTTGTTGACGTTGATATATTTTGAAAAACTGTATATATATATATATATATTACGTGTAAAGAACAGCAATCATCTATCCCTTTTCCTAAAAGAAAAAATTTATCAATTAAGTAATTAAATGCAAATGCACCATTTAAAGAAAGACTATAAGTCAAAAAGACCATGTGCAGCCACGAAGTTTACTTATGTAGAAACTTTCCTCTTAAACATTGTAGAGAATCCAAGTCACCTCAAAATCATCAAACAAGATAATCCTAAGCTTCAATGCGTATTAGAAGCATTTTAAATTTATACTTAGCTTAGCCTTGGGGCATTTTATCTGCGGAAAAGAAATATCTGTAATAAATGTCACATTTCAATATATAGGAAAATTTCTCTGATTGAGAACTTGAATATATATAAAGATAATTAAGTCCAAGGGATAAAAGGGGAAAAAGGCTTTTAGGTTTATACACGTCTTATATTAGCTTTAGATTAGATTAACGAAAATGTCGTCCTCATCCAGCTAAGTTATACGAATTTTCTTCGATGCCATGTGATAATCATGTGTCATAATAAAACCAAAACCTACTTTGGCAAGTTGAAATATAATAATATTATACCGTTTTTCATGAAGAAAATTAATCTTCACACTTAAAAAGATCAAGCTTGTCCAACCATTGAACCCAGAAGGATCCTATGCTTCTTTCTTAATTTTGTTCCTTTGCTTCAGATACATTTCACTTCTTCTTTTAGTTATTTATTATTCCCTTTTTCATTATTTTGCTTTCTACTTTGTTATTGGGACTTGAAAGAGTCAAACCACTCAAAAGTGAGAAGCTTCCTTTCGTGTGTGGGAAAAAAATTTCTGTGTGCTAGGTAGTAACTGTTTTTTAGTAAAAATTAATATAGCAAATTTTTGAACCTAATTAGTCACGTAATATTGAACAATTTTTCCAACAATTAAACTTATTAGAAACTTTTGGTCAAAAAAACTACTACTGGAAACTTGGTGAGTAGTTGGTAAATTCGCTCACGTAATTGGTGGTATCTACGTCCACTTGTCCATAAGAACATCTCATTTAAAAAGTGAGTACTACAATTTTAAAGTCAACAAAAAAACCTAAAATGTCTTTTTTTTTTAATTGAATCTCATTTTATATGTCTTCTTGGATTTTCCTCTTCCTTGGTCAGTGCCTAGGGCTTAAGAGAGATAATGAGCCTATAGGATTTTTCCGCCGCACCTACCAAACCGGGGATTAGATTAATAATAGTCAGATTTTTAAAAAGTTTCTCTATGAAAAACAACAATTCAGACAAAATTACAAAACAAAATTGTAGTTGGAAGTTAAGAGTTACAAGTAAAACTTAAACAGCTCTTATATAATTAGGGTTAAATTTATAACTATTTAAATTGATATTTACAACTCTTTTTCTTTTTGAAATTTTATTGGAAACTTATCTATTATGAATTTAATTTTTTAGAATTTTAAGTTTTTAACTGTCATTTTTTTCCCGCAAATATTACACAAATGTGGGGTAGGGTCCACTAAACAAACTGCACAAATCCCGCGGGCATAATTAAGAGCAAGCCACTTACCAAAAAAAAAAAAAATCCTATCACGTTATCTCTTCGCCTACTTGCTTCGGCTTGCTCTCACTTGTACGAGGCAAAACCGCGTGGAAGCAGCACGCATCTTTGACACTTGAGCATCTCCCTCCCTGCCTCTCTCTCTATATATTTCCCTCTTCTCTTCAACTCCTAGACTCACACTCCATTCATCTTCATCTTCTCTCTTCTTATTCTCAGTTTCAAGCTCTCCGGCTATGGCTTCCCTTTCCCATTTCTTCTTGCTCGCACTCTCTGTGCTTTCTCTCCTAGCTTCTTCTTCCAATGCTCAGCTCTCTCCCAACTTCTACGCCAGATCTTGCCCTAACCTCCAGACCATCGTTCGCAACACAATGAGGCAGGCTGTTGCCCGAGAAGCCCGCCTCGGCGCCTCCATCCTCCGCCTCTTCTTCCACGACTGCTTCGTCAATGTAATTCACTAAACCTCTTCTTTATAACATATACACCCCTCTATATGTCAGCTTTCTTGGTTTTATGTTAATACATTTGGATTTATTTTACTTCTTCTTCTTCAGGGTTGCGACGCCGGAATCCTCCTAGACGACACCGGGAGCTTCACCGGAGAGAAAAACGCCGGCCCCAACCAGTCGGCAAGAGGGTATGAAGTGATTGATGCTATAAAAAAGAACGTGGAAGCTGCCTGCAGTGGCACAGTGTCTTGTGCTGATATCTTGGCACTTGCGGCACGAGAGGGTGTCTTCCTGGTAATTAATACTATTAATTAACATTTCCCACTGTACTTATTTCTAATCAAATAATGCATATTTGTCTGCCAAAATGAACATATTAATTTTTTAAATATATTTACTGTACATAGATTATATATAGCCTTTACCTGCATGCATGACAAAACCATGCACGAGATAGACTTCAATTATAATACTAATTAATTAACAGGCCTGAGCTAGGTTAAAAATATTCTTTCTGATTATGATAGGAAATAATGGATTAAGCATGATTATACTAACAGTTTGGCTGATATCGAATTCAATAAATGATGATCTCACAATAATATTTTATATAAAGGTGGATTCCACTAATAAGTTCAAGTCATTTTCAGTCTTTCACGTACAGCAAATTACAAGTACATATATCTAACACAGTTAATATAATTAACTGAAAAATAATTAACTGAAAAATGACATATAATCATTTTTACCATTTTGCTTATATATATATATGACATATCAGGTATATTATTTGCATACACATTTAAGGTAATTTTTCTTTTAACACACAGAATAAAGTTTATGATAATATATATATTTGTTGTCCTCATGTGTCACACTTCATCACCATAATTTAACTAACAGCAGAGAAATGTCGGTGCAAGTTTAAATAAAGATTCATTATTTAAATTTTGTAGATATATAAGAAGGTGTTCTAACGGGATAAGATTTACGAACGATTTAATTATAAAAATTTTGGCTTTATTCGCCACTCATTAATGTCGCGTTGTCGTTATGTGTTGCAGCTTGGAGGACCCTCATGGGCGGTACCACTTGGGCGGAGGGACGCCAGAACTGCGAGCCAGAGCAAAGCCAACAGCGAGATTCCGGGGCCGTCGTCGGAACTGTCGACTCTGATCTCCATGTTCGCCGCGAAAGGGCTGAACGCCAGAGAGATGACGGTGCTTTCCGGTGCACACACGATAGGACAGGGACAGTGCAATTTCTTCAGGAACCGTATCTACAACGAGAACAACATCGACCCGAGTTTTGCGGCCACGAGAAGGGCCACCTGCCCTAGAACTGGTGGGGACACCAACTTGGCACCCCTTGACCCCACCCCAAACAGATTTGACAACACTTACTTTAGGGACCTCGTGGCTCGACGTGGCCTCTTCCATTCGGACCAAGTGCTCTTCAACGGTGGCTCTCAGGATGCTCAGGTTAGGGCTTATAGTGCCAATAGGGTCCTCTTCTTTAGGGACTTTGCTTCTGCTATGATCAAGATGAGCAGTATTACTCCTCTCACTGGGTCCCAGGGAGAGATCAGAAAGAACTGTAGGGTTGTCAACTGATTCCTGCATGTTCTGTCTTTTTTCCTTTTTATATTTTTAATTTGTTTCATAAGCAGCAATTGAGTAATCAAGGGCTGTATTTAGGGTTTGATTTAATCAAACGTGATTATTATTATTAGAGAAGGTCTTGTTATTAGTCATAAGCTTGACTAGATGGATCTTGGATATATGTATTTGTACGACATGACACAGCTCATCAAGTGTAGTGAGCTGTATGTCCTTTTCTAATCAACGAATGATTCCAAGCAGTGTCTGTTTTTTTGTTGTTATTTTATTTTTATACGCTCAGAAGGGGAGTTTTATTTACTGTCTAGGGGAAAACCGATTAAATATTGCCTCCCCCTGGTTTAGTTTTTATTTTGATCCTAAATATAAGACTTTAATCCATTTTGTCTCTAATATTTATCTATTTTTTTTAAGATAGTTTTTCTAATAATGGTAGTTCTAAATAATAAACTCAATTAACAATGATATTTTAGAAAGGATAATTCATATTTATTAAAAATAACTAATTTAATTTATTTACTTAATGTATTTAGATTAGTCAATTAGCTTTTATATTTAGAACCGTAGATAGTACCTTAAAAGATCATGAAAATCCAATATTATGCTAAAGCAATTATTTAGAATTTTTCAGAATTTAATGAATTGACTTTATTACCCCTCAACTAAAGAAAAGGGGGGGAGGGAAACGTAACTGAGCCTCCGCCATTGAAGTTTCGCGGCACCGCCTTGTTATATATTACTCACATTATTCACTTGCACCAAACTTCTTAAACTCATAAAAATAGTAGCTACTCGATCATTCAGATGGCATTATGTATTGCCAGTTAATTATTGTTATTATTCACTATGTTGTTCAAGTTATGTTTAAAAATTGCCTAGTAGAAGCAATTTTCTCTGCATATTAATATATACTTGCCTGAGTGGAAGAAAAACGGAAAGAGATAAATAATTAATTTAAAATGAACAATAATAACTTTACTGTATATTTTTAAAAATAATTTAATAATTTTTTAAATCTATTTAAATTAATTAAGTACCTCTATGAGTGTTTATGTTAAGAAAATTTGGGCATGATCACGGAGTCAACGAAGAGCTGGGGCGGAGATAAAGACATTAGACGAGTAAGTTGACTCATCTTCCCAACCAATCATTTTGGCTTCCTCTGTACTTTTATGAATCCAATCATTAATTATTAGTGTATTTCGATATCTCTGCACAAATATTAGTACTTCCTTGCTAATTGACTAATTGAAGATTAAAAAATAGTAAGTAGTTACTTGTAATAAATGGGTGTTGTTTTTCCTAAAATATTCTTGTTAATCAAGTTTATTGGTTAGAACTACCATTACTAGAGGGACTATCTTGAAAAAAAATACACAAATATAAGAGACAAAGTGGATTGGGGTTTTATAATTAGGACAAAAAAAAAGAGTCAAATAAGGTCTTTATTAAGGACCAGAGATAGTATTATGATTATTTAACTTTCAACAATATTTGTATTATTAATTAGTTAGTGAACCATTTCTTTTCCTCTATGATGATCAATGCATTTCTTTTCATCGATGCATTTATATGATTATCGGTGATTATTGTATATAAAACAATAGGTCAAAGTGGAATTTATATTTGATTAGCTTTTTTCGTAGAACATGATATACAAACTAATTACACTAACAGACAGAGACAGACAAGTGGGCAAACCATTCCCACCTTCAAGATCCATATCTTGGAATAGTTGTGACTTTAATATCGAGACACGGGTTCGGTTGACTTGAAATTCTCAATAGAAGTTTTTTTACCTGCCAAGTTTACAACTTCACAACACAAATTGGAAACTACTAAGTTGTGTGGAATAATAAACCAAGTAAACCAAAGTCTATATATAGCTCCACACAAGATAATTCTATCCCTTTAATATATTCATGAAGAAAAAGAAGAAGAAAAAAAGAGATGATAAATATAGTGATGAAATGTATGTATATCTCATATATGTTTATACTTACATTCCTGGGTATCTCATTTACTTTTTATGTATGAAGGTGTTAAACGAGGGATTCAATTTGTTTTTTAATTTAATTACTTAATATTCAGTACTACATCCAAATTTGAGTATTATAATTGAACTCATCAATTATATTGAAGTTTGAGAATAACTCCCTCAATCTTTGATTTTTTTATTTATAAAAATTCAAACCTTTAACCTTATTATTTATTAATATTTCTTTCGATTTTAAACGTAAAAACTAATTGAGAAAGATTTTTTAGTTCTAAATATAAGACTCAATTTTTTTTGTTTATTATATTTATGTTTTTCTCAAGCTATATGTGTAATTAATGGGAATAATTTTCATTTTAGATTATTATGATAAGAGTTATTTTAGGAAAATTAACATAATTTTTTTTATATAAATAGCTAACTTAATTAATTTTCTTTATTCATATGGATTATTTTAAGAGAGAAATGACAAAAAATATAGCCATTTTTCAAATTGACTTGATTATTATTGATGGTTAATTTGATTGTTTTCCTCATATCCTTGTTTTTGTTTTGGCAAAAATAGAAAATGTATCAAACAATTAAGAAAAACAAGAACAAAATATATCACAGAATTTCACCAATATCCTATTTCAGTGTTCGATAGGAACATGCAGCAATGCTACACTTAGTTCTTGTAATTCTTGATTAATGTTTGTTAGTTGCGATATTATGAAGATATTTATATATATTAACGTGTGCAAGTGGCAATCATCAATAGTGTCATTGTCCAAGTAGGGCAAAGCACAATATGTAATAATTCTCTTTTCCTTAATATATTATGTATTACATTATAAAATAGGTCTTATACTTAGGATTGGAAGGAGTAGTAGAGCAATGAGATGTGAATTATAGATTTCCACTTCAAATCACAATTAATGAATTTGCAAACTACTCAGTTTTCAATTCTCAATTAATTTTTTTGTCGGCAAGTTGAGTAAAGTTACGTTTAATATTTTCAATTTCATCAAATGAATGTTGCTATAGCAAGGGAACTGATTCAAACCGTTGAAGACACATGTTTCCAGCTCCATCTAACTATAATTAATTTGCCAACAATTCTAATAGTGATAGTTTTACATCTTTATTATTAAAGGGTTCGGATACAACTCTGAAACCTCATCCAATTGTGGCAGATATGGCGTTACTATTGAAGCAACTTGTCATTAAAAAGCACTTTTTTTCCTCTAAAATAAAATGGATGGGAGCTTTTTTTATGTTGAAATTTTCAGACAAGGTATGGCGTGTAAACATCAACAATCATCTCTCCTTTTCTAAAGGAAAATTTGATCAAATAAATGTAAAGTAGACAGTAAAGAAAGACTTTATAAGTCCAAGATCATGTGCAATAGAGAAGCAGCTTGCTTCTTACGTAGAAAATTTCCAGTTAAAACACTCCACAGAATACAGCTGGGTCCCATCAAATCATCAAACAAGGCAATCCTAAGTTTTACAACGTTTTCAAACAGTTTATTTTTATTTTTTAAAACCAAAAACTTGCTTTCATCGAAAGCATTTAGGGGGTGTTTGGAAACACTAAAAGTGCTTCTTAGAAGCACTTTTCCGCAAAACAAGACAACTTCCTCTACATATTTACTTCATACATAGTAAAAATACTTTTAAAATCATGGTTTTGATTCTATCCAAATACCTCCTTAGACTCAAGGCATATTTTACTTCAGAACAATTATTTTCATCATGTAACGAAACGTACGTATTATTTAATCTATACAACGACAAGTGAATGTCATCAATAATTTTTTAATATTTCACAAAACGCGTTGATAAAGTAGTTACGCAAGTACTAATAAACGTCACATAATCTATAGTAAACTTTCTAAAACTTAAACATTCACCGTATATTTATCTTAGATTAATGAAAATATCTTCCTCCGGCTAAGCTATCCTAATTTCTTCCTCCCAAATGAAATGTAGTTTAAGTTTAACTTTAACATGTTCTATGAAGAAAATCTTCACACCTAATTAATAAGATGACGCTTTCCCCCAACTAAATAAAGCATGAACGTAACCTTTGAACACACAAGGATCCTGTGCTTCCTCTTTTTGAATTTTCTTCTTTTGCTTCAGATTTCACATCTTCTTGAGGCGTTTCATATTATTAAATGGTCTTATTATTATTATTATTATTTTGCATTTTACTTTGTTAACTTTGGAAAAGTGAACACTCCAAAGTCCAAAGTGCGATGCGAAGCTTCCTTTCGTGTGAGCTATATGAAAAAGTCACTCTCAATATTATATTCTTCGGAAATAACATATTATAAATAATTCTAACTGTACATTTAATACTTTGTGTGAGGCTCAAATCCATATACTTGCAGTGATTGTTAATATATGCACACACACATATTGAAAATGCCTAACATCTTTGGAATGAAAAAACGCCAAGTTTCTAACATCTCACGATGATTACTTCCTTTCCTTTTTCATCACTAATAATGCTTAGCCAATAGAAAACAGAAAACTTGTTACAATAAAATCCACGTTATTTATAATTTATAAAAATATAGTGCAAATCATTTTTCGGTCTATTTATGTCGGCATAAGAATTATAGAGAAGTGGGTATCACGTATGTTAAAAAAAAAAAAAGGGGCGTGAGACTCACTTAAACAGTTATTTTAATTAATTGAATCGCATCTTCTTTGTTTCTTAATTGTTCCTTTGTCCATATTTAGTAGTAGCTAGGAGACATAAGGAGATCGAGAATATAACGCTGAAGCAAGTAAATAATAATCGTACATTTTATTATTCTTTTTAAACTTGGGATTAGATTAACTAAAGAAAACCCAAATGTAGAGTAAGCTTAAGGGGGACCACTCACAAAGTCATGGACACATGCAGAAACCCAGTGGTCATAGTTAATTAATGTGGAAGCCACGTACTTTTTTAAAAGGTATCTAAAATGTTAAAAAACCTTCGTCTCTTGCTTTAGCATTATCTCCCCGCCTACTCGCTTTGACCTCCTCTCTCTTTGCAGGAAGAAGCAGAGCCGCGTGTGGAAGCAGCACGCATCTTTGACACTTGAGCATCTCCCTCTTTCTCTCTCTCTATATATACCCCTCTTCTCTCCAACTCTGATGCTCACACTCCAACCATCTTCATCTTCTCTCTTCTTATCTCAGTTTCAGGCTCTCCGGCTATGGCTTCCCTTTCCCATTTCTTCTTACTCGCACTCTCTGTGCTCTCTCTCCTAGCTTCTTCTTCCAATGCTCAGCTCTCTCCCAACTTCTACTCCAGATCTTGCCCTAACCTCCAGACCATCGTTCGCAACACAATGAGGCAGGCTCTTGCCCGAGAAGCCCGCCTCGGCGCCTCCATCCTCCGCCTCTTCTTCCACGACTGCTTCGTCAATGTAATTCACTAAACCTCTTCTTTATAACATATACACTGCTAGATGTCAGCTTTCTTGGTTTTATGTTAATACATGTGGATTTATTTTACTTCTTCTTCAGGGTTGCGACGCCGGAATCCTCCTAGACGACACCGGGAGCTTCACCGGAGAGAAAAACGCTGGCCCCAACCAGTCGGCAAGAGGGTACGAAGTGATTGATGCTATCAAAACGAACGTGGAAGCTGCCTGCAATGGCACTGTGTCTTGTGCTGATATCTTGGCACTTGCCGCAGAAGAGGGTGTCTTCCTGGTAATTATACTTCTTTCCAATTACATATTTTATACTTGTCTGCCAACTTAAATACACTAAGTAATTAATTTATTACTTACCTGCATGCATGAAAAATCCATGCACGACATATAGCCCTGTGATATGCAAAATTTGTCTTTCTGGTCATCATGATGGCAAAGACCGTTTCTCCATGATTAACAACACAATGTCTACTAATCTCAAATTAAAAACGGATTTAAATATGAATAATTAAATTTAAAGTTTGGTTGAGAATTCAATGAACGGTGATCCCACAATGATAGTATTAATTAATAAAACAGGTGGATTCCAGTTAGTACAAGTCATTTTCACAGCGCATTTCAAGTATCTAACTCATCACTCATGTTTTGTTTTTCCCTTCCATTTTCCATCAGCATGAGCTTTGCTTTCACACTTTGTTTCTTTTTTCTTCTTGTATGAAATTATTATTAATTAGGAGTATTTTTTAATGTCAATTCTCAATATCTGATATTGACAGTGTGGGTCCTCCAGAATCTACCACGCAATATGATTAGCTAAAAGATGTCATATATCCTTCGGACATATGTGTACATGTGTTTTCTCCTATATCACTCGTCATTTTCTTCACAAATTATACTTATTCACATAATTTTATTCCTAGAGCAGGTATCATTTTTAAATATTAATTATGTATATATTTTCTTGCCCGCTAATATATTGCTTTGTCATGCTTTAATTTTGTCCACTATGATTTTATCTTTTATGGTCTTATATAAATATATATCTATCCTCATGTCTGTCACACTACGTGAAAAATTGACTGATGTATGTATAGCATAGGAACATGTCGGTGCGAATTTAATTTTTAAAGATAAGGACTTGGTCACTCAATAATTGTGCATCTGTCGTTGCGTGTGTTTCAGCTTGGAGGACCCTCATGGGCGGTACCACTTGGCCGGAGGGATGCCAGAACGGCGAGCCAGAGCAAAGCCAACAGCGAGATTCCAGGGCCGTCGTCGGACCTCTCCACTCTGATCTCCATGTTCGCCGCCAAAGGGCTGAACGCCGGGGAGATGACGGTGCTTTCCGGCGCGCACACGATAGGTCAGGGACAATGCAATTTCTTCAGGAACCGTATCTACAACGAGAACAACATCGACCCAAGTTTTGCGGCCACGAGAAGGGCCACCTGCCCCAGAACTGGTGGGGACACCAACTTGGCACCCCTTGACCCCACCCCAAACAACTTTGATAATACTTATTATAAGGACCTTGTGGCTCGACGTGGCCTGTTCCATTCGGACCAACAGCTCTTCAATGGAGGCTCCCAGGACGCTTTGGTTAGGACATATAGTTCCAACAGTGCCCTATTCTTTAGGGACTTTGCTTCTGCTATGATCAAGATGAGCAGAATCACTCCTCTTACTGGGTCCCAGGGAGAGATCAGAAAGAATTGTAGGGTTTTGAATTGATTGGTCCCTCCGCCGTGATTTCTTTTTTTTTTTTTTTGGGTTTTTGTTTGGGTGATAAAAGACAGCGATATTGAATAACCAAGGGCAGGATGGTAATTAGAGGGCGGGTTTAATTTAATCAATTGTGATTAGACAAGGTCTTATTATTAGTCATAAGTTGACTAAATGGATCTTGGATATATGTATTTTTATTATGACACAGCTCATCAAGTGTTGTGAGCTGTATGCCTTTTTTTTTCAATCAAAAAATGATTCCAAGTGTCTGTTTTTGTTCCTATTATTCTATTCTTTATACTGTTAGAATGAAAGTTTTATTTATATTAACAAGCTCGATATAATAATAATAATAACGATGTCAATCTAAAATAGTAGTGTAATTTTTTGTTGGCCTGTGCTACTTACCGAGATGTGAATGATTTATGGGATCTCTTTATTGTGCTCCTTATATGCAAGGCGTGTTTAACCTGTTTTTAAAAGACATGTCTAGTTAATTATAAAAAATCAAATTAATTCTCTTTTTTTTTTTGCCAACCAAATTGATTCATTTAAACACTATTAATTAATTACATCGATATTTTAAGAGTTATTTAAAAAATGTCATTTCTTCATATCCGTGAATAATAAAAAGTTAACTGAGTTAATTATTTATAAAAAATATATGTTGGACTGTTACCTTTTTTTTAAAATATCCTTTCTAGTCATATGTTTTGTAATGACCCTTAATGAATATTTTTATACTATATATAGTTAATAGAGATAGTTTGGAGGGAAAAAATAAAATGAAGTATCTACAATAGAGATAGTTTGGGGGGAAAAATAAAGTATCTACAAACAAAGGTAAAACTTATGATTTACTTAAGAATAAAGAGTAATATGCATTAATGTTTATATAAGTTGAGTCACGAAAGTTCATTAGAGTCAGGATATGCTTTCAGGTTCAAATAATACCTATAAAATTATTTATAAATTATCCATCAACAAAACTTTTATATCGGTAATAAGTTTCACACTCACAACCTCATATTTCATAAGTCGACTTATTACTAATTGAATTTTTATCCCTTATTTTTGCCTAACATGTTTTGTAGGCTTTATAAGCTTACGGATTTCGGCCTGGCCGAGCTCATCGAATGCTGCGAGAAAGTAGTAAATTGGGCAAGAGCCCAGCACAGCGAAATTTTCAAATGTTGAAGCCGTAGCCCACCTGGTCACTTCACCCACACAAACACTATGCTCCCCCCCCCCTTTACCTCGATCTATTTATTCGTTTTCATATGAAGATAAATATACCATTACAAAATATAATGAATTCCTGTGCATTTTCTATTTGTTTATTTATTTAACTTGGAACAAACTAAATTACTCTTCCGGTCCTAAATATAAGATATTATACTACACTAGTAATGGGTCTTATATTTAGGACAGAAGAGTATCAATTTATTACCAAATAGGTAAATATGGCCACGGACCTTTCTTATATGAGTACGAATGAAATTTCTAAGTTTTTAAAGATTATTGGTACCTTTATGCCGTATTGAAGTGGGCAAGTAGCCTTTCATATAAAACTCCCAATGAATAATCACATGAGAAGAAAATAGACCAAAAGTATATGTATATAAAATTTAATTCGAATTTCAAGAAAATATAAATTTATTCATCACAAATAGTCACATCTACTAAATATGAAGATTATTTAAAATCCACAATATGTTAGAAATGGAAATGTCCTCTTAGCTTATTTAAGACACTATCATTAAATTTCATTATTTATGTGAGAATATTATTGGTGAACAATATATAAGTACTCATGTAATATAAGACCCATTTAACTAATGATAGATTAAAGAAGTTAGGTAAGTTAGTTAATTATAAGTGACACATTTTACCCTAGTAATCTTTCTAATACCTCATTCTCCTACTGATTATAGTTGAGGGAGTATTCGAGAAATTGATAAATATGAGAAATGGTCTTTAGGACCAAAATCAAGAATAGGTCATATATTAAAGGAGGAGTATCTTCGTTAATATATGTTACGTCTAAGGTCATACTCTACCCCCGTTCGGCTGCTCCTGTTTGGTCTCGGAACCTGATTCACATAAACTTTATCTTACTAAAAAAATAAAAAAGAAATGTAACTGTCTTCTTAGCCTATTTTAAGAAACCAACAAAGGTCGTGTTTGGAAAATGCGGCGGGAACATAAGAAATAACGAGTTCACCGAAGCAGTTCGGCATAGATGGAGGTTTTCACATTTCCAACGCACATATAAACAAGTCTTACCATAACCGTTATGCTGAAATAAGTCGCCCAAATTGTGGTTTTTCATGCTTCTAATCCATATACAAACAAATCTCACCGCATTTGTTTGTTGAAATAATCCCGCAACAATGTGATATTATTCATATTTCCCACACATATTCAGACAAATCCCCACGCATTTGTTTGCTCAAATAACTCAGCAAAAAATTTGATTTTTCATTTTTTGAACTAGAAAAATAAATCCTAATAATTTGACATTATAAACGGATCAAACACAATTTTTTACTTATAAGAATGACTGGACATTAAATATTGATATCTCTCAATAAAAATCTGAATTTAATTCGTCATGAGAGACTAATTTTTTAGTTATTTTTTAACTTTTGTTAGTTATATAATAATACACTTTTAATCTGCTTTGTTTTTTAATAAGTACTAGTGCTTCGCTGATGGTCAAAGTGGTAAATTAGCTTGTCAAAAATTTCCAAAAATGAAATAAATTTTTATATAAAAATGAGATTTTGATTTTTTTTTCTCCTGATTTCATGATCAATTAATTTTTCTGAACAATGCGCTCTTTCAATGGGGTTCCATGTGACCCATGTCCCTCGTTGATTTTCCATGCAAGGCTGTTGGGTATCTTCCCACGTACTCAACCGCACCAGATCACAGGTTTCAGTGGTCGTTACAAATGTGACGACGAGTAGACCACCGTGATTGAAGCGTGCTTTCCACGCGCCTCATGTTAGCGTGTTTCTGGTCTCTTTCTCTTTCTCTATCTAATCTAAAGCCAACCCTGGCCCTCAGCAACACTATTCCCTTCAGACACACAGGAGAGAGAAAATTGACAGGGTAAGAGAGAGAAGCAGAGGAAAGAAGGGTAAGAGAGGGGCAGCAAGGGAAGAGAGTGTTTGTGTAGTAGTCTCACATGTCTTCCATGCCGTTGGGGCCGCACCAGCACCAACCGCTGGCGGCGGTGGCAGCTCCCCAACCTCCAGCTCCGTTGCCGGCGCAAGCTGAGAATGACAAGGTACTTCCTTTAAAGCAGTCTTCTCATTGTGTGGAAACGCCGGTTGTCATCCTTTCCATCTCTGCTTCTTTGCACCTGAGTGGTTTCCGGTTCTTTGGTTGTCCTACATCCAACTAACTAGCTTCGGTATGAGCTGAAGTTTGAGCGATCTACTGGTTGTTGGTGATTTAAGCTTGTTCAGAGAACAAGCTTGCTCGCCGGCACTTTTCTCCGGCGAGATGCCGATCGGAGTGATTGCACGGATTCCTTGAAGAGTGACGGTTTATTATTATTTTTTTTCCAAAGGAGATTGTGGGAAGAGGCAAATTGGGGTTGGATTTTCTTTCTTTATGGTCTGCTTTAGTTGATGCTTCACGGTCGAGATCTTAATGTTAAAATGCAGCTAGCGTGCCTTTTAGTTTGATGGTCCTGATAAAAAAAGAAGCGAATCCAAGTAAGTGCAAAATGCGAATTCCTGTACGCTTAGAATATACTGAGCTGAGAGTGGCGTTGTCTTAGCCTCTAGGTGATGGTTTCCTGAATTTCGAATCGCCTGCCTCTTTCACTTCCAGAAAATTCCTTACGGTCTTTGGTGTATGCTAATATATCTTTTAGCTAATTTCAGTCAGCTTTCTTTCACTTAACCTTAATTCTACCGTGAATTTTGTATTAGGATTGGCTCTCTGTATCTTACTGTCATACGGGTATAATTCTAGTTAGATCTTCACCTCCTTGCTAAAATCTTATATATACTACCCTTATATTGCCGTCTGCTTTTCTGTTACTTCACTTTCACGTTTTTGGTGAGAGTACTCTCCTGTCAAATTATTTTGGTATTGCTCTACCTCTTTGTGCCCTTTCCGTTTCTTGTAGTTGCCGTGGATTGTTCCTCAGAACGTTTTAGTTTGCTTCAGGGGATCGATGTCCTTAGATTCTTTCTGGCTGTTGTCTTAATTGATATGAAAACATTTCTTTGGTATGTGATGCTTTCTTGTGACTTGTGGAGACCTAATTTAGCTTTATCTTTGTATATACCCTTTGTGGTCGTTGTACTTTCCCTTTCTTCAACTTCGTCTTCTGAATCCTGCCTGGACTTTTCTGGTACTCCTTTGATTCTAATCGCTATGGTTGATTGTTTTGCGTTTACTTCAGCGTACAGTTTCTTTAGCCATGATCACCACGAAATACCTTGTTATTGTTTAATCGTTGTTTGATTTAAGATATTGCTCCCAGTTTCTTTGCGACCTCTCATGTTATCATGCAGCAATTGAGTGGGAGTTGAAAGTATTGATTACCGATTACCTGTGTTTATGCACGTCCAACAGTGGCTTTGCCATGTCAAATCTATGTCACATAATCTGCATATGATATATCATCTAAAGAGAATGCTTTTTAGACCAAATGAACAAGCAAATTGATAGTCACAAATAAACTCGGAGCAAAATGTAACACCTGACTAAATGAAACAAGTAACCATAAATATTTAACAAGAATCTTGCAAACGAATTCTGTATTTGGAGAATTGCTATACCATGCAAATGCCTATTTCTTGCTATGAATTTCAGGAAATGTCGGCTGCAGTTCTTGAGGGGAACGATGCAGTCACTGGCCACATAATCTCCACCACAATTGGAGGGAAAAATGGTGAACCTAAGCAGGTGGGATATGTTCATAACCCTTTTTAATAACCTCTCAATTATTTTGAAATAAAGATATCTTTGGCGGTTAGACCCTCAACTTGTCTGTCTCAATTGCATCAATGATTGTACATAATGATTACTGTTCTAGATAAATATTCACTTCCTTGTTTGGATGGGGCTGAACTACCTTTGCAAGTGGGTTTTTTTTTTTGGGGGGGGGATCTAAGTTAATATGTTACTCTTTGCGTTTAAGGAAATTTCCAGTGGTATGGTACTAACTGTCGGCCCTCTCCCTTCAACCATTTATCTATGCCCTCTTTATAATTTCGATTTTGAAAGTTAACGTGTGTACTAAAGTCTTGTTGGATGCGTTTGTAGACCATCAGTTACATGGCAGAGCGTGTTGTTGGCACTGGTTCATTTGGAATTGTTTTCCAGGTATGTGTAAATCAAATTCTGGGTGACAGTTATTCTTCTAAGCTTTTTCTGCCTTCAGACATCTCATATTGGTTCGTCTCTGTCATTTGGGGTCTCCTTGACCCATACAAAGGCAAAGTGTTTGGAGACTGGGGAAGCAGTGGCTATAAAGAAGGTCTTGCAGGATAGGCGTTACAAGAATCGTGAGCTGCAGTTAATGCGCTTAATGGATCACCCAAACGTCATTTCCCTGAAGCACTGTTTCTTCTCTACAACAAGCAGAGATGAACTTTTTCTCAATTTGGTTATGGAATATGTCCCTGAAACATTGTACCGAGTTCTAAAACACTATACTAGTATGAACCAAAGGATGCCTCTCATCTATGTGAAACTCTATACATATCAAGTATGTACTCTTTGTTACCAATTTGTTTTAATATTTTGGTTGCTCATAGTTGGATTCTTATAAAAATTGGCATGTCATGCTCAGATCTTTAGGGGACTAGCATACATCCATACGGTACCAGGAGTTTGCCATAGAGATGTGAAACCTCAAAATCTTTTGGTATGTTATTTCTGAGCTGTACCTCCTTGATGCTGGCCACGCATTCATTCTAACTGTATTGCATATCTGTTTTGTAGGTTGATCCTCTCACTCATCAAGTTAAGCTTTGTGATTTTGGAAGTGCAAAAGTTCTGGTAGGTTATATAATCTTTATGCTGCCCAGTCACAAAAGCTCTTTTAACTTTCATGTGCATGTGCAGTTGTATTTAAGTCTGTATGTGAATATTTGCTGTCCACCAGTAAGCAAAAAGCCATTGAAATGTGAATGCTGCAAGAAATATTTGCCCTACTTTTTTTTCTTTCCCTGGCCTGAACACTGGACCCTACATTTTTTTTCCTATCGTAAGAACAGTAAACGGGAGGAAGGTTGTTGGCCAGAATCACGTGCGCATTTTTGTTAATACTTTAATCATTTATCAACACGATGAAATCACTGTGTTGGGTCTCGACATCTAAAAATATAAATTAGGTGGGCCCCTGTACATTATCCATGTATGAGGAATGAGTTGTTCTGTGCATAATACTGTTTCCTATAGATTTTATATTTATATTATTTCATCTCATTTAATTATAATTCATATCAGGTCAATGGTGAATCAAACATTTCATACATATGTTCGCGTTACTATCGGGCTCCAGAACTAATATTTGGTGCAACAGAATACACAACGTCTATTGATATTTGGTCAGCTGGTTGCGTCCTTGCTGAGCTGCTTCTGGGTCAGGTTAGTAATATTATACTTAGGAGCTGTTTTCCCTTTTATTATTTTTTTTCATATTTTGAATTTTTGGTTATGTTGATTTTACTTACGGATTGTTTTTGAATGTTTCTTTAGCCATTGTTTCCAGGAGAAAATCAGGTGGACCAGCTTGTGGAAATCATCAAGGTGACATGGTCTCTCTGTTAATGACACCATGGTTCGACGAGTCTGGTTTTAGAGTGATCATTATTTGGGTGTCTTGTTGCAGGTTCTTGGTACTCCAACTCGAGAAGAAATTCGTTGCATGAACCCTAATTACACAGATTTTAGATTCCCTCAGGTTAAAGCTCATCCGTGGCACAAGGTAAACGCATTTGGTCATTCATTTTTCTTTTAACGTGAAATGCTGGAAATGTGGTTTTCAAAATGCAGACCAAAAAATGTTGTCAAGCTAAATGTGAAATCAACTAAAGTATATGAAGATAAGTGAAACTATTGCCTTCTGAGGATTAACATGATGTAGTTGTTATAAATTTGCATTTGCTGTTAGAACGATATATTCTTGGAACTTCTTTTTCCTTTGTTTTTGGTGTTTGGTGCAATGCACTAATTGATATTTCCATGATTCAGGTTTTCCACAAGCGAATGCCTCCTGAAGCAATTGACCTTATATCAAGGCTTCTCCAATATTCGCCTAGTCTGCGCTACACTGCGGTGAGTTGGACAACCCCTATTATTCCATCCCCTCCCCAAGGGGAAAAAATGAAAGAAATGAGAAAAATGAAAAAATGAAAAAAAATATCTAACAGGTCTTGGTGTGTATTTCTGTGTGTTTTGCTTAGCCTGGTGCTCTAGTATTTTTGCGATTGCACTGTGCCAATTACTAATAGTCTAATATACTCTTCTAAGATTCACTTGATTCTCAGTAATGGCTTTTATTGTTTTAGCTGCAAGCATGTGCACATCCTTTCTTTGATGAGCTCCGGGAGCCCAATGCACGACTACCCAATGGCCGCCCACTGCCTCCACTTTTCAATTTCAAACAGGAAGTATGTCGCTTATTGATTCCTTCTATCACATGTGATATATGCAAAGCAATTGCAATGTTTACCATTCATGTTCATAATGCATTTTTTTGAGTGTCGATGCCTTCTGCATGCTTGATGCTCAAGAATCTCTGACATAAAGTTTCCCATATCACAAACAATAGCTTCCTTGAATGTAACATATTTTGACAAGTTCTGTGCTGAGAATAAACATGAATTGTGGTATTCGAATTGCAGCTGTCTGGAGCATCGCCCGAATTGATAAGTAGGCTCATCCCAGAGCATATTAGGCGGCAGATTGGTCTCAGCTTCCCTCATCCCACTAGTACATAGGTGTAAAAAGATATCAAAGGAGTCAGCTATTCTGGCAATCAACACGTAATGAAAGGATGGCCTGTAGGTTATGGCCCAATATTCTTCAGAGTTCCTCCTCCTATGAAGATGAAAGCGTGTACTGGCTGCTCAGCATTACCTGGAAATCGGTTCTTCTGTCTATCAGTTTAGTTATAGAAAACTATTCCCTGCGTCTGTACATTGTTTTTGATCAGATTCCAGAAAGCTAGGAGTACAAAATGGATCGTGTTTATATAGGTAGGGGTTGCGAGAGCCCACCAAATGTTGAAGGGCCTCGGGTGGTATTAGTTCCGCTTGGTTTTTACATAATCATAGTCAATGTTGTGTTCATGCTTTGTCCTCTTGCTTATGACAATATCTCGGTTCGAAACCAGATTTATCTTTTAATTATTTATTTATCCTGTAGCCGTCTTCCAAGTTGCCAATTTTTTCTCTGTCCATTCTGACTTTCGTCCTCTGCAGAACCGTAGAGGAGGAAAAGAATCGGTCCAAAAGGTTGATGAAGTGAAAAAAAACTTGAAATTTCTTTTCCTTTATTGAGCGCCAGTCTTGGTGCATCTTTGTACTGGGAATAGAAGATTCTTTTCCCAACACTTCTTATGGGTGTCATTTTCCTCCGATTCAGGCCTCCATATTCATGCAAACTTTGGTAATTACCTCTGGTAGTTGAAGCATGCTCATTATTTGTGAATGATTTGGTCAAGGGTTGGTTATAATAGTAGCATGCAGATTTGGAGCGGTGTGAGCTGGAGAAATAATCAACAGAATCCCATCGGACCGCGCATTTTCAAAATTACCATTGTACTGCCAAGCTTGCTTGGCATAAAGATTGAAAACCTGCGAAGTATCATTTCTGCCAAAGAAATCGCGAAATGAAAGCTTGACTTCTTTTGGTTAGTAGTTCACTTCCATTGTACCTGGGGAAGCAGAAAGTGCTTACAGTTGTATAAGGGAGATAACTTTGAAACACCTCCCCCCCCCCCCCCAAAAAAAACCTAAAAAAAAAGAAGTAATGAAATGACTATGACGCTCAGATTTTGGGGCTACATGTCAATTAAGAAGTTGGTGGGGACGTCTGGGCAGGGCATGATGAATCATTGAGTATAATATAGGAAGTGGAGCCACGTGTTGTGATGTTCATCGTACCACATTGGCTTGGTCCTTGCTCCTTTGTCGGCATGGAAAGTAAAGTACTCATTTCAGTTTTAAATATAAGACTTATTTTTTAATGTAATTTAAACTACAAAATAAATTTTACATTAAAAACCGAAGAGTCTCAGATAACTTAACGACATAATAGCCTCAAACTTGACATGAAAATTGACTTGTGTCTGTGATCTATGACGCCCTTCCTTTTAAAATACTCACAACTGCCTAAATGGGTCGCAACGTAATGGCGCGCAGAAGCTAGTACGTCTACAAACAAGTTAACCTCTGATCTCACTTTTCAGTTGTTCACCGCCTGCATTGGTTGTTGGATGTCTCCTCAATATCTAAAAGAACTCAAAACGTACTTATACCATGCCATATTGGCAACCAGCACCCATCATGAACAGTTAGTGTGTTGTAGGAAAGTAATACAAAGAAAACTGTTAATGCATCGTAGTTCTTTTATGATTATCCCTTTCACACTCTCACTCATAATTCAGCTATTCTGTTTCTTATACTGATGACAACACAAATCTTCAATAGTCAATACTATGAACTAACAAAACTCAGTAAGTATTCTACATAGCTATGCAGACCATTCATTCCCTGACTGATCTCTGATCCTTTATCTGCGTTTTTGATCCAATCGTCGGTTATTCTATCATGTTAATGTGTGGCCTCACCAGAATCCTTTTTTTCTTTTTATTTTTTTCAGCAATATATTGACAGCGGCGGAATTATTCATATTGTGATTTTTTTTCTTTTTCATCCTTTTTTTTTTAGCCAAACCATGGAATTGTTGAATATCAGAGTCATTTCCTATTGAGAGAATTTTAAGAAACCCCCGGCTGCCGTACTTCAAGTGTGTCAAAAAATGTGAAAAATGTCCTTTTTCGTTTTTGGGTAAATATGTCAACAAGCAGGGCCATTTTGGTAAATAAGAAATATAAATCTCGATCTAATTACTTTAAAGCCCACGAGCTGTGCCTCTGTCGCCCTTGCGTTCATTCTGGAAGATTTCTCTCTCTCCCGCAGGGTTTTAGCTCCGATTTCTTAAAACCCGAGGCCATGGCGGCGATGAGAGCAGCAGTGGCGGCGCCTCGCGGTCTAAGGCGCCTATTCTCAACCACGACAACTTCAACCTTCATGCCTCCTCCCCCCTCGGCGGCGGCTCCTGGTCGAGAGAAGGCCGACCCTAGTCCCAACCTCTTTGTCTCTGGTTTGTCTTCCGTAATCACTTCTTTTGTTTTTGTTGAAGGGTTTCGTAACTTTTTGTTGGTTTATATCCGTGTCCCTCTTGGAGTCGGTTCTACTCGCACTTGCTTCCTTGTGGTTTGACCTTTTTGGGGCGTTTCCCCCTTTAGCATTTTACCTGTTTGTAAATAGCTCTTCTTGACGAAGATAGCTCAATGCAGTTATCTACCTAAGGAAATGAACTGGAGAGTGGAGACAGTGTAGCAGATGGCCAAACCACATTATTTGATATCTGCTCTTAGTTGATACGCTTTGTTTCAATTTTTTTCTTCGTCTTGGGGTTTTTGTTTGTTCACCAACCAATCGAGAGGATGAAGAGAAGGATGCTTTTCCCCTCTTCTGCTTAAAGCCCTATTATAGTTGGACTTCATGGATGCTAAACCGATCAATTTTTAATTATACAAGGAATAGTGAACCTTAAGTAGTTGCCTATGCAAAATTAGGGATTTCCTTGCCCAATTTATCTCCGGTGTGAACTACAGCTACACAAAAAGAGCTCATATAGTGTGACTGCAGTGAAGATATTTGAAAGTTGCGAGGTTGAATGCATGGCCTAGTGCCAAGAGCCCTTGCAATGAGATTCCTGCAATAATGTAAGCCATAGCATGCTGTAAACTCTGCGCGCGCATGTTAGCTGTCTGTTTTTTTTAAAACCTTTGATAAGGTTTAGCCTCCAAAATTTCCCACGCCCTTAGCTTCTTTAAAACCAGGAAGGCAGGAACTGCCATAGCTTTGATTTGTGTTATTGGAAATTGCCATTTATCGGACCTGATGGGTGTTTCTACTGTAAGGCCCATGATCAACTTGGATAATTGGATATATGTGCTGTGTGCAACAATTCCTTGTGCTGTGTTTGTCTCTATTGTGGGGCATTAAGCAAAATAGATTATGCTCAGAATGTGTGTGTAATATAGAGTCATCCTTTGCGGAAGTTATGATCCGGCTAATGAGAAAGTCATACATATTGACGTTGAATTAATGAGATACTAGCTAGTTATTGTAAAATGTAAAATTGATGTGATTTTCCCCTCGTTTTGCAGCAATATCATAAATTTGTTCTTTCTTGCTCAATGTTAAGTTTGTGAACTTCAAATTTTGTTGTAGTCTGGTACTTCCTGTCTTTTATTTGTTTTTGAGAGCAAGTTAGGGTAGTTGCAAGAAAAAACCACGAGTTGACTTTCTTGTTTTGATAGATGAGGGGAAATGATTCAGTTTTCACTTAGTAGTGCTGCTGGGAATTGCTGAGTTATTATAATTTATAATTTTCTGTTGCAATGCTATGGCTTTCTCTGTACAATAATTGTCATCATCTTGGTTAAATCCCTTGGTACTTCAAATATTTGAGTTGGGTATGGTAATATTCTATATTTCTCACACTTTCAGGACTTAGCAAACGTACTACTACAGAAAAGCTACGGGAGGCATTTTCCCAGTTTGGTGAAGTTGTTAATGGTTTGTTTTGCCTCCCTATACAATTTAAGCCACGAAACGTTTTAGTGTTTCACTACATGTAGTTTTGTTCAAAATTCTTCTTTTTTTAACCATGACAGTCCTTTTTTTGGGTTGTTTTCAGCTAGAGTGGTTACTGACAGAGTATCAGGTTACTCTAAAGGGTTTGGCTTTGTAAGATATGCCACCGTAGAAGAAGCTGCAAAAGGCATTGAGGGCATGGATGGAAAGGTAAGCTGGCCGGGTGGACTATAATTCTAGGCTTGGATTTGGACTTCTCTGGGGAGATATACGGAATTTACCTTTGAGTTTCCTGTGTCCTTGTCTGGATCTTTTTCATGGTGTATTTCTGGATGTTTTAATTCTAGATAAAATTGCAATATGACACCTGGGGCTGGATAAGTGAACATGAAGATTTATTTGAATTCGGCACCCTAGAAGATAAAAGCAATATTGTCTGAAGATGCCAACTTTGTTTTCCCTCTTGTGAAGCAGAAATTTTGCACTCATCTAATGATGATATGCACCCAGTCTGAATACGAGTTTTCCTCAGAATCGTCATTTCTCTACTCTTGCTTGGAATTCATTATATAGCTTTGAACTCTAGGACTTTTTTTGCTCCTGCTGCCATAATATGAACGTTTTAGGTCACATATGCTAGTTTGACATGGCAGTGGCAAATACAACGGATATAAACATGTGCGTTGTGATTGAAAACATCATATGTATGGCCAGGCTCGTTTTAATATCTTTGTTATATTTCTTGTCTCCTTGTAGGTCTTGGCTATGAGTTTGGCATGTCTTACTAGACAAAACTATCTCTGGCTATGCTAGGCAGATGTTGATATTCTTGGTTGCTATACTCACTCATCTGAAAATCGACTCACCTTTTCCTTCATTACACGCAGTTTCTGGATGGTTGGGTGATATTTGCGGAGTATGCAAGACCAAGACCACCACCGGGACAACCTGGACAACCTATGCCTCCTCCGTATGGCCAGCAGTACTAATTCCGATTATTTGCCTCGTAATTGTACCTCATTGAATTGGTGTTACATTTGATGATTAGAAGAAAAAACATTATTTTATAAAATCATGGGAAATCTTCTATTTCCTCAAAGTTTTGCATGTCTGTTATGGGAGATCAACCTTATGAACTAAATATTATTGAAATGCAAAGGGATTTGAGTTAATGCAGGAACGCATACGATCTTGAATCTTTGGTGGATATACATCTGTAGTATCAACTTTATCTTCGTACCAGGGCAATAATATTTTGATCTGAAAAGTGCTGATCGGTTGTTTCATTGACATGTAATATTTTGGGGCCCGAGTCAGTCGATCAGAAAAAATCTCTGATTTTTCAATGGTGTTTTAATTCGAGCATGTCTTTCTAAATTTAATTCATGGTAAGATGGGATGAGAAATGCAGCGCTTTTCCGTGATGATTAATTAATAAGAGCGATTTAAGTTAGGTCGACGGAGAAAAAGGTTAATAAAACAAGCACACAAAATGGTGGTCAATCTATAATGGAAAATGAATCATTTAATTTTATGATGTTTCGGCTTTTAATTGGGTCTCCTTATTGATGGCTACTTTGGTACCAAATGGAAGTATCAGCTGTCATCTCAATTGTTTCTTCTTTTTGCACTGTACAAATGTTATTTATTATTCATTAAACACAATCCGTCGATGTGTAAGTCAATGGATCACCTGGAATTTATTAATCCAATATTGAAGAATGCATACATGTTAGCCTTTTTCGTTTGACTCAGCCCTGTTGGTATATATAGAGAGGGAGTATTACGCTGTGTGTATGTGCGCGTCTGTATAGAGAGGGAGGGAGCGAGAGAAATATGGCCCTTTGTCGGGATGAAAGTTACTGAAAATTAAATTATTTTTATATACAAAATTAGGTGAATACTGAATTACATTATTTATACAGACATAAGTGGTGCGATTTTCAACATCCGATAATTTTTTTTTTTTTGAGTGAATCAACATCCTCTAATATTGGAACAGGGAAAGTCTTGAAACGCTAGTTCTAGCATAACCCAAAACCCATGCGCAAATCTATTTATACAGTATATAATTATATATATTTGAATCAAACTGTTAACAGGTGTTCGCCACCTGAACTGCTACTCTCAACCACAAAATCTCTGCGTATGAGAATCCCAACTACCTTCCTTCTTTCTCTCCAATGGCGTCTCCCTCTCGCCATTCCAATTCTCTTCCCACCCCTTCTCCTTCCACCCCCACCATTCTCTCTCGCTCTTCCGTCTTCTCCGACCTCAGCTAAGGTGTAAGCCGCGCCAGAGGGGGAGAGGAGGGGCATCCATGAGTTTCTTATTGGAATTCGCGTCCTGCTGCGGCTGCGCTGCCTCGCTTTCCCCGGTTCCGGCGACGTTCTCCCCCTCCTCCTCCTCCTACTACTACGGTGAGAAACGAAGGTCCTTCGTGCCCCGGCGTCCGACGCATAGGCCTCTGCCTTCTTTTCGGCCCCGCCATGTTCTGAAGCGTAGGAGGCCGGCTGCTCGGGCAAAGTGGAGGCCGACGCTGCTACCCATTTCCGAAGACGACGAGGTAGAGACGCAGAGATGCGATTCCATTCGATCGGAAAAACAAGGGATGAGGAGGAGCGACGCCTCCAGGGCGCTTCATTACGATTACGATTCCAGGTGAATTTTTTTCTTAACAAACTTGATTTGAGTAGCAATATTTAAGTAGGGGATTAAGAATGATGTAGTCAGGATTAGCTGCATGTTTCAGGAGTGCCGGTGCTTCCAGTTCCAAGATTGTAACCGCCTTTTATCCCATGCCATATATGTTCTGATCACTCTCTCCTTATACACAATCAATTCGATGATCCAGCTCGTCTTGTAAGTGGAAATGAAGCTTCTTCTTCTTCTTCTTGTTTTTTCCCCTTTTACTGTAAATATATTTGGTACTTCTAAATCCGGCCGATTGTAAAGTTTCTCCAGTATATATTTAAGAGCATAATTTTTTTGACATTTACGAATTATTGGTTTGAGATGTCATAAATAACTTCATACTTCTCTCTCTCTCTCTCTAAAATAAAAAATAAAATACCTACGATTCAAATTGTCTCAAAATGAACATCATCTGAAGATAACTCTAATCAAACGATGTCAAATAGATGTCTGGACGCTGGAAAACTTATATTAATGGTATACTGTACACATACCTGAAATCTTTTTAACAAGTTTTACTTTTACTGTTAAAAAAAAACGCTTATCGATACCTTTTGAGTTTTGAAAACATTTTCCCCGTATAAGCATCACTTGAGTTTTGTTTTTGTTTTTTTATTACATTAAAAGCATACTTGAGTTTTGACATTTGATTCTGGCAAAAAAAAAAAAAAAACAGAGAGAGAAAGAGTTTTGACATTTGATTATAAGAAAGGAAAATTTATTGCGTAATATACATCAGGCATCAGTAGGGGCAAAACTAAACTATAGTAGTTAGTAAAAGTAAACAAGATGAAAAGGATCAAAAAGCTTTAAAGTTAGAAAATCACGGAAGATCATCGTCACCACAATTTATACATTGGAGGCACATCCGCCGTTCACCATCCCGGCGAACGTATCGTAGAGCGGTTGGTCCATCGTCTCCGGCAGGTAAAACCCGAACACCCCCGCTGCGATTCCACACGCCGCAAACACTGCAAACGGCAGCCCACCGCCCAAAACCACCACAAACGGTGCCAGTATTGCCCCCATTTGCGCCGCCTGCGTTGCGCACCCGAGCGCCGCGTTCCTCACCACAGTTGGAAATAGCTCCGCCGTGTATATAAACAGCAAATTATACGTTCCCGCCATCCCAAATATGCCCAGAATCCCGCACACCATCTTCAACACTTTCCACAACCCCACGTTCTTCATCAAGCTCCCCAAGAAACAGAAGAACCCGCTGAACCATAACGTCCCGATCGCCAACGGCTTCCTCCCAAATCTGTCCAACATCAACGCCGTTATCGTGAAAGCCGGCATCTCCGCCACCGCATTCAGTAAAACATTCATGTATATGTTGGTTTCCAGATTCACAACATTCAAGCTCAGGCCGTAGTACACCACCGAGCACAAGAAGTTGATGGCCACAGCGAGAAACAGGCGAACCCGTGTTAGTGGGGATCGAATAACATCTATGATCGACCCAGTCACAGCATCTTTGTTCTCCAGCTGTTCTTCCTTGCAGGTCTGAGTATGGCCTCCGGAAACGTCATTGTCTGATGTTTCATCGTCGAGGGCAAGAATGACCCCGTCCGGGAGGTCCTTGCCGTTGGTGGTGGCGATGTCGGACATGAGTTTCATAGCGTCGTTGATTCTTCCCCTGACGAGGTACCATCTCGGGGACTCAGATATGAAAGGGATGACGAGGACGAGGAAGAGGAAGGAGGGGATGGAGGAGGCGATGTAGAGAGCACGCCATTCCCGGAAGATATAGGCAATGCCGGAGAGGAGTGCAATGCCGGTGGAGAAGAAGTAGAAGGTGGACATGCCGGCGGCGCCACGCTTGGTGGGACCAACGGGCTCAGTGGCGAGGACGAAAGCGCAGAGGCCAACACCACCGGTGCTGAAGCCGGTGAGGAGGCGGAGGAGGAGGTAAATCCAGAAATTAGGGGAAACAGCCGTCAAGCAACCGAAGATGGTATTGAGGAGACACACCACAGTGAGAGATCCTTTCCTTCCCAGGAAGGAATCTGAGAGATGACCGAATATTCCAGCACCTGTAAACCAACAACATCACATCATCATTAACTTCACTTCCATCGCAAATAAATAATCTGCACTTTTGTTAATTCAACATCTTATTATTAATATTCATAGTAGTTCGAAGATAAAAATAAAAAAAAGGTGGAATCTTTTGGGAAATAAATGAAAGAGACAAATAACAACGGAGAAGAAAAGATGAAAACGCAAGGCAGCTTATTGGCAGGAGGGAGTAATGGGATTATGGGGCACACACGATAAAAGAGAAGCAGAAAGATGCTACAAATGCCACTGGCTCGTGTTCATCGTTATTCATTACTACTCCTATACAGCCTTGAGCCCTCAGTCCCAGAAAGCAGCTGTTTTTGCCCGTCACGTTATTCCATCCCACTGGTCCCACATATATTCCCCTACTTCCATAAAAGATGCTTTTATCGCTTTGTTAGATCCTTCTATAAGTGTGAATAATGCCACTTTAAAGACAGGCACATGATGATTTATGACTAGAGCCACCAAGCATGGATCTCGGTGATCATTATATTAAATAAACAAATGGCTTGTACTGAAGGATCAAAATTTAAAAATGCCAATCATGTTAGTACTAAATTAGTTTGGACGACACGGAAATCAACCTTTGATTAGTTAATTTGTTGATCTTAACGCGTGAGTCTCTAGCATCCACTAACTTGTTTTCGGCCTCTACTGGGTCTCTCCCCTCCACGTCTTGCCGTTTTGCATAGGCTTTGCAGGGAGGAATCACAATATTGATGTGATCCCGGACAAAACTTGGGATTCCGAGCCTCTGCGACTCAAACCCCCCTCAAAACGACAGCCCGTGTAAATCTAATCCATTCCATCCCACTGCAAAACGACAAGCACTAAAAGCCCTCTTTTTGGACCCTTGTACCAATGTCCAATGCCCCGCCTTGTCCTTTTCATCTCGCTCTTTCCCCTTGGTGGTCCCATCAAACCCCTCTTCCTTTAGCTTCCGCATGACTTTTTCTCCCCCCACTTTTTTTAAGCTTATAACATAAACTCTCAGTTACAAGGACTTAAAATGAATGCATTGCATATATCCAATATGCATCTAAGAATCTTGTTCATGATATTATAAAAAATAATCCAGCTTGCTCCCCCATATATATATATATATATATATAACCTCGTGATCAACTTGCCAATCCCTGGCGACGACTTCGCTTCTTCATTATTTTAATAATAGAATTTATATTTTAAAAACCTATAAACAATCTGTTATTGACTCACTCTGACAGACATACTTATCTCGTTCAGTCGTTGTGATCTCCGAATAAAATCAAAGCCATCTTATTTGAAAAATAATTTTGCCCAACAAAAATATTGGATCATGTTTAAAATCCCTAATACCAAATATTTTCGTAAGCACATTGACACGTTTCAAACCTAATATACCATATCAGTGTTTCACCATGTGGTCAACTAGGGCTGAATTATTTGACTCCTTAAAATGTTATTGAGGCAGTATTTTTGTTTTGCCATGAAATAAATTTCAAAAGATTAAATTAAATATTAAAAATAGGGATAATTGTGAATCAGAGAAACTGGAACTGACCGATCATGCAGCCGCCGAAGAAGATGGCCTGGACCACGCCGACCTTATATTTCTCTCCGCAAAACAAACCCCACTCTGCGACTGTCGAGGTTGCAGGGCCCCCGACCCACTCCCACGACCCGGGTCCGAGGCCGCACACGCTCGTCGCCGTTGAGTCGCAGCCCGAGCCGCCGATGCACCTCCAATCGGGCTCGCGATCCGCGAAGATCATGACCATGGTGTGGAAAGCCTCGAGAGCCCAGGCGAGGCTCGTTAGCACGAAGTGCCGGAGCTGCCACGGCCCGAACTCGCCGCAGTGCCGCCGGAGCATGTCGTCGATGGAGACCTTCTCCGGTTCGGTTTCACCGGCAGACTTCTTGGCGTCCGTCGGAGGTAGCAGCGGCGATCGGAGATCGGGGTTCGTGCCATTGGTGGTGGCAGGCATCTCGGAGTCGGGCTCAGGTTTACGAAACACCTGGATTTTTGTTTCTCTTTCCGGCCGCGCTCGTTCAGTGAGTTTTGCGCTAATGTGTTGTATATATATTGGCGGGGAACTGAGTCGTGGAAATTATTTAACTTAAAAAACGATATCAGCAGTATCTTTCTAATTTGTTGGAGTGAATTATTATCCACGTATACTGTATAGGAGATATATTTTCTGACCTTAATATATAGAAGATATAATTTTTTAATAAAAATATATTATTTATATTATTTCGAACACCCTTTTTTTTAAATAGATCATCTGAGTGGAATTCGGATTCTTGGATTCGTGGGGCATTTGGAAAAAATAGAATGTCTACTTTAAAACCAGCAATAGCAAGATGGTGCGTAACTGCATATAAAACTCATTTAAAATGATTTATAAATAGTTTTTTAATAATAATTTATAAAATACGATATAAATATATAAGAAAAGTTTCGGCTTAATTTATATAAAATGTATTTATAAATATTTTAAAATGTTATTCCAAACAGGCCAATATCTATTGGATGAGAGATTTATCTTCATACCAAGTCAAGTCAATCCACATTTAACATTTAAGTACAGTCTCCTTTGTAAATAGTTTTGGACCTCGTGTAAATATATGAAGAGTTAGTGGGTTGTTTTTGAAAAATATGACGGGGGGGATCCGAATATCCTCTTCTACTACTAGCCAAAAGAACCCCCTCTTTATGTCGGTTCGGGGGCCACGTGGACGGTGATGATAAGGATGATAGGTTGAGGTTTTTTTTTAAAAAACGGAAAAACTGTTTTTTTCGTTGGCTTAAAAAAAAAGAGTGAAAAACCGGAAAATGGTAAGTGATGGATAAGAGTGCAAGAGGGTGGAAGCTTCTCGTTGGGTTGGGTGCTCGGCAGTGAGGTGACGGGAACATTATATCATATTGAGCGGAATATTAAATTTGAAAGAGAAATAAAAATAAATCATAGCTCGTTGAGTGAAGAAAATAAGGTAACCAACGTAATAACAAATACTCTTCCGGTCATAAATATAAGACCCTTATACACACTCGTATAAAAATATTATATTTAAGATCGGAAGAATATATAATAACATGTTATTTTTTTATATTGAAATACTACTTCTAATTCTAATTATAAAATTTTATAATTAGAACCAGAGGCAGTACAATCATTATGTATTATTTAATTACTGTGAAACTTTTTAATAATTGCATTTTGCTTTCTAGAACCTTATATTAATTCTCCTCTCTCTCTTTTTTTCCCCACAGCCCCAAGAAAAAAGTATAAACTACAGACAATATAGACTTCTTTCATCATGGTTTCTCATATGTATGTCATTTGCAACTTTGCATTGCCAATTAATCTGATGCTGACAGTTCCATCAAAAGGCCTGTGTTCTGCTTTTTGGGAGATAAATTTTGTCATGTAAATGTCTAATAACGAGTTCATGGCTTAGGCCAAAAGCCAAAAGTGAGTCGCGTTTCCCTTTTATTTATTTATTTTTGGATTAGGATTGAACTTTAAATGCTGTCTTAATGAATTTTAGCTTCAGCCGGTGGTACCCAAAAACCTACTGGTTTTGCTTGGTGGGTCTAGATTAGAATGCCCAACGTATTAATTTTTTGGTAAATTATTGGAGCCTCATGATTGAATTTAAAATATAAGAAATTATATAGTATAAAAAAAATATAAGAAATTATTTTCCTATTAATGCTAACATTTTTATTTGTCAATTTTGAAATTAAATATTCAAAATATAGTTCTATTATCTAATCTTGCAATTTGATTAAGTTTATGTGTATTTATTTGCATATTAACCGGCCTACATGACGTGGAACTTGGATTTTAAGAAAATTGAATATTATTTTATTAAATTTCAGTGTAATATCCCTTTTTATTGAGTCAAATTTAGCAATTTTCGGGTTGAAATATCTGGTGAGGATTCACTTGACATGCCCAGTTCTGTTCGTGTTCGGTGGGGACACGTGGACGGTGGCGATAAAGTCGATGGGTTAAGGAATTTCCGATCTTGACCAAAGAACGAAGGGAGAGCAGGATGGTACTCGGTAGGAAGCTTCTGGCTTTCCGCGGTGGGGACACGTGGACACTGAACATTTTACCGTGTGCTATTAAAAGGGCTTTTGAATAGAATCAAAATATTTTTACAAAATATGAAATAAATAAATATGTGAAAGAGTTTATCTTAATTTGTAAAAAATATTTTTATGGTTGCGAAACTCCCCCTAAATAAAATTAGCTTTTTTTTTGTTAACAAAAAAAATAAAAAGTAGTTTTTATATGGACAACTTTTTTCAAAGAAGGTATGTTAAATAAAAAATTTTAGATTTAAAAATAAAATGGGAAAAATTGGAGAAAAATGACTCACCGAAAATTTTATTAGCGTGAAGGATATAAACTACAATACCGATACTCTACGTGTATAAAATTTATAAAATATTAATAATTTTTGTGCATAAAAATTTATCACGTCGACTATGGTCATTAGCAGACGAGAATGTGGTCGGAATCTGCATCGCGTTCTTAGTGGGACTGAGAATGAGAATAAAGAGAAAAAGGGAGCAGCCAGTTGGGGATTAACTAAGCAACATTTGGAGCCACGTAACGGAAACTGGAAGATAAGTTATTTAAAAGCGACATCCTTGCAAGCGAGATGCCATTCATGTGGTAAATATTCAATGCATTGACATTTAAGTTTTTTCTGTTTTAGACAGAGCATTAACATATGAGTTTATTGGTGGCCCTTTTCCTCATTTACGTATATTCACTTAATTACAACAATCGTGTAAAATATGAGGATATACATATAAAATAGATGTCAACTCTGAACAATTAATTAAGAGGCCAAAACACATTTGAACACTCAACTTGTTGTCACTAATCCTATGTTGGCGTAAAAGGAAAAGGACAAAAAATAACTGATCCTTTTACCCAAATATAGGAAGGAAGATTTTTTTTTTATTTGGATATTAAAAGATAACAAGGAAAATTGGAGAATTAAGAAGGTATAGATTGCTAGTTTACAATTTGTGTTGCGTTAATTAGGATTAAGAGGCCAATAGAGCTTTTAAAAGCCAACAAAGCAGAGGGGCTTTGAGGAGAAATTGGAAACCTTTTGTTTTCGATTATAGATTTTATGAATGACCAGAGGTAATATATAATTATATTCAGAAACGCCAATCCAAGTTGTATAGATAAAAAGAAAATTATCTTATATTTTAAGAAACCTAATGAAAAAAGTGAATCCATAATAAATTGAATTGTTGTATTAAATATTTTAACTTTTGTACTACTGGGATGGGATTGGAAAGAGATGGTTACATGGCCCAATGAGACACCCAACCCAAAATTCCTATGCACTTTACCCTGGAACCGTTCATTCACCACGCATCCATCATCAGTTAGGTTTTGAAGGAGCTAGTAACGCGAGAATTAATGTTTGAATCCTTATTATAAAAGCCACTTAACGGGGACGGTACTTTTAAATTGGATTGAAAGCGAGGTTTCATTTTTTTTTTGTGGGTTCTTTTTGGCAACAGGAAAAAATATTGTTTTTTTTTATTACAAAACCCACTTATACATATATATGAAAAAAAGTTAATTAAGAATTAAATTTAATTTTAAAATTTAAATATAACATCTCAATTTAATTTGTTTCTTATATTTATCATTTTTTAAAATTAATTTACTTAACTCATGATATATAATTTAATATTATATAAGTGTATTTTGAGAAAATTATATTATATTTATTATAATTAACTAATTTATCTCGATTTCCTTCATTTAAGTAAATTACTAAACTAACACTTGATAGATGTGTAATGATTAAAGTGCTATGATTTTTCTTTGCCACTTCCAACCAAATCAAATAAATAAGAAAAAAAGTAATTCTTTAACCCTTATTCTTGTTACGATTCCGTTCCTTCAGTTCCACCTCGAAATACATCGCAAATTTCTTCCAATGATATTCCGCCTCCTCTTCTTGAAGCCCCGCCCCCTGCCAGCATTATTGCTTCCAACGATCCAACCTTTCCCACTCCCACGCCATTACTTTCACTTCCTTCCATCTGAGCATTGAACAATCTTGCCAGCATGTTCACGCATCGATTTTGTAATAATATTCATCAAATCTCACATGGATCATACACATATGACAGCATCGATATTTTTGAAGAAAAAGACCGATCGACGACGTACGGAAGGTCGGTGGTCATTGGGCAGCCTGGGAAGAGAGTGGGTGGCAAGAAGCAAAGGCGGGGTGAAAACAGGAGATTTCGGAAGGCGGTTTTGGGAGAGACATGGTGAAGTGCATCTTGTGGTTTTTGTTGTGAGGAGAGGGAAAATACAGAGAAAACTAGGAAGAATGTGTTTTCCTGTTATATGTTGAGGAGGAGGATTTGAACCAGCCAATGTTGGAGGCTATTTATATTGATTTTATATCATGGGACGACAGGCTCTATATATAGTCTATATGATGTAGTGAAACTGGAGAGAGTGAAGTACAAATTAAAGCTTTCCTTAAAAACTGAGGAAGGAAGAGAAGGTGACACCTAGATAAAGTGAGATGCGGGGAAAAAAAAAAGAACGGACGTTTAGCACTATCAACGGATTTGATATTTTCATCCCGCTTTACAAAATTCGTTTGTATTTTTATACCCAATATTTTATTATGATGTTTAGCGCTCTTTTTTAATATTATAATAAGTAAATTTATCCCTTCGGTTGGGAAAAAAAAAAATCTCTTTGCTCTTATACGGATGCAGAGAACATACTCTTCCGTAGATATGGTTGGTCCTATATAAAAATAATGATTAGCATTTGTCCAAAATTTGATACATATTTTTATTTTTACCTACAATTAACTACAAGAATATCTCATCTTTTTTCCCACCCCTTCTCTCTTACCTCTTCTCTCGCTCATTCTCTTTCTCACTCATCATCTTTCCACAAACAATCTTATTCCCAAAGGACACAAGAAGATACATTTCACTCTTTCTCACTCATGAAACGAGTCATGTTCACAAGTCGCATCAGAATGGGGTTTGGCATCACTACTTGGCTGATATTTGGTCTCACACACTCTTCATTTATATCCTTCCACGCACTCCTGATCTTCTTCTCAAGTTCACCAATGGCTTCCTGCTTTGACACTCCATAATCCTTCATGTAGCATTCTATCAGTGACGCAATGTGCTCTCTTTTCTTCTCAAACTGCACAAATAACTATATTAACCACCAAATCTTCACCTTAATTTCTAGTTCGAAAGAATTAATGTGTGTGTGTGTGTGTGTATAGTTACCTCACTAGAGACGATGTCATCCATGAGTCTGCAAATAAGTGCAGAAGCTTTAATGACTTTAGGGTGAGTTTGGGCCCACTTGAAGACATCCTCGGAGGCTATATCTCCCATGCCGATGAAAGAAGCAGCGGACAGAGCTGGACAACAAGTTGATACTGTTGATACATTCATGTACTCCTCTGTTGTCGGAATATGCTTCTTATTTAACCATCTTGCTTCTGTCATGTAGGCTTCCACTGCCTTTTTAAACTGTCATCAACCAAATTACAGTACATTTGATGTCAACGGTCACATCTAGTTAGTTTATAGTTTCAGAAAGTTGCAGAATTGATGGTGGTTAAAAGAACAATGTCATTATGTGTGTGTGTGCGTGTGTGTGTGTGTATACCTCTTGTTTGGAATAGTAGACACTGTATGATCGTCCTTCTTTCCTCATGTCTTCATCTATTTCTTGGAAAACGTTCAACAGTTCCTTGTAAAATAATTTGATATACTCTGGGAGATTGTCCAAGCAACGAATATCCCACCTGCAAGCATCAATTCAACAGTAGGAAAACCAGAAAAAGAGATAGTGAGACACACACACACACACACACCCAGATTTCTTCTAAATAGATAGATCAAAGATCGAGAATTCGGATCAGAACTGACATAAACCTCTGGATTGCCTCGTTGAGGAGTTCTAGTTCATCTATAGTTCCATACGCATCGAATGTATCATCAATGATGGATAGCAGGGCAATCACTTTGGTCATTATGCTTCTAGCTTTAGAGTACTGAGGCTCAAAATAAACCGTAAGAATCCAAAAGCATAGTTCGACGATCCTGTTTCTTGTATATGAAAGATTTCTTTGCACATCAATTTGTTATACCACCTAAACGTACGTAGAGAGACCAAGAATTATTGAGGCGAAGTTTCTCGCATTTACATAATCAATATAACATTTTTCTCAAAGTGACAAACTATTAGTTATTTTATCCCAAGAAGCTCGAGAAATCACTTGCAGAGATTGCCAAACTCCTTCTGATGCAGCTTTTGGAGCATATTGAAATCTAACTTCGCCAGCTTCAGAAGAACTTGATTACAGGAAGGATTCAAGTGATATATGGAAATGTACTTTCGCGCCTCTAGCCTTGGCAATCCCCTGTAAGGACACTGCTTTAAGCTATGGCGGAGTTTTGCTGCAAGAAAAGGTTTTGATTCAATGGTGGTGATGGAGCGATGAAGATGATTCAAAGTGAAAGCAAGCGCTTCGTCTAAAATGTCCTCTCCATGAACACTGAGATGCGCGGCTTCGTACAAACTAAAGACCCCTTCAATATCTGATGCTATTTTTTCACTGAAGCTTCCTTGCTCATCCTTGAAATTGTTGAACATATCTTACACATGGTAATTAATGAAATATATGTTTATATATATAGTAATTAATAAAACATATTGAAGGAAGCAAATTAAACTCATAGTAGCATACACACACACACACGCACACATACCAGGTGAAATGGGATATCCTTCTTGCCTCAGTAGCTTAAAGAGTAGAGCGAGAGAATGGAGAGCTTCAGTATGAGTTACAATTTCATTATTTTGCACGCAAGTGTTGTGAATTTGCTGCAGTAGGTCATCGATCTCACGTTCAAAATGGTACGACAAGCCCAAACGTTGAATTGAATCAATCAGTTCGAGTACTTTGGTTAAGGGCTTCTCCATCATTGTAGATATGAGCATCTTCCCCACTTCTTCTTTCACTGTTTCAACTGGTTTCCCCATTTCTTCATCAACTTCCTACACAGTTTTCAAACAACTCATCATTATCAAATAAACCAAGATAACAAGAAATATATATATATATATAGAGAGAGAGAGAGAGAGAGATAGAGCTTCACGTATATACCAAAGATTGGGAATCATATTGAAGGAAATAATGATGATAATCTGCAAGATGTCGACGCAAATGGGTTGATGAAGAAGGACCAAGGGTCGTTGAAGCAGCAACGATAGACATCGTGTGAGTATACATCCTTAAAACGAAAACAAGGTTTTTTGTAGTATGTGTCGACCTTCGGTGCAGCCACTGTGTAGGGCATGCGTGGGTATTTATAGGAAAAGTCAAAGCATCAATTCATTAAATTATTCTTAATTAATTTGCTCCTCTCACCTGGGGGATTAGAATCCACGCACGTTTCTCACAATTTATATATGGCGGGTCACTCGTGAAAAAGTTAAAAGAAATAGATGGGCACACCTCATTTTATTTTTCTTATTGCTACCTCCTCTCATAAATAAATATAAGAACTAAATATAAAAATTGTTCTAACTTAGAGGAGTAGTTAAATGCATAGGATTAGAAAGCGCATTCTAAAAAAAACCAACACACATTTATTATAGATAATTAACTTAAATTATTTTTTTATTTTAATAAGTTAATTATCTAGTTTTTATGTTAAGAATGTGGGTTAGTATTTCATCTTAGACTGATTCGTGAAGGAAGACAATATATGTGTCAAAAATTATCCATTCTTCTTCCATTAAGTTGTTCGTTAAGAAATTAACTGTTGTCTAAAAACTTGTGCTCAGCATCAATTTCATTCAAATAATTTAATTGAAAAAACATTTAATCAAATAAAATTTAACTGCAAAGATATGAAATAGCATGACAATTTTAAATCAGACTTCATGAAATATAACGAAATGCGTGTATTCTTTCTACACAAGTAGTTGTATGGGTATTTATCTGTTTTGGTGATAAGTTATACAAGTATTTAGTACTTCTCTGATTTTTAATATAAGATCTAATTAACTAACTTGATTAGATTAAGGAAGTTAGGTAAGTTAGTTAATTATAAGAAATATGACATGTTTTTTCTAAAACACCATAATCATCTTTCTTAATATCTCCCCTCTCTCACTTATTTGATTATGGTTGAGGGAGTATCTATAGAGGTAATTTGAGAAAAATTGATAAATATAAAAAATATGTCTTATATTTAGAACAAAATTAACCTAACAATTAGGTCTTATATTAAAATCAGAAGAGTATTTCATGTTTAGGAAAGCAATGGCATATTAAATTGGGGCAATACTAATATAAAATTTCTTATATTTATTAGTTGAAAATTTTCAATCACAGTGTCCTATTTTAAAAATATTAGCATTTAATAGCATTTAATTATAAATTCATATAAAATAAAAAATGACATATGATCATGTATGATTAGAAAACTTGACATAATTGATATAAGTAATTTGCCCTTCTTTTTTTTGTTGTTGAAATGATTCTCTTACTATGTTAATTTCTTTCAATTTATTATTTATGCTAAATATATTGTTCCTCGTTTTATCTTCGTCATAAACTAGCGCGAGGGCTAATTAACAAAGCCTGAAAATTGTAACCTAGCAATCGAGATAAAAAGTGGAGGAAAATAAAAGGAAAGAGGAGTGGAAAGTCCCTCTCCCGACAAAAAATATTGTGTATGTGTATCTATGGGAATTACCAAATGAGGATATGCCGCACTAAAAAGGTCAATGGGCTTTTGCTAGTGCCAACAAAGTGGGCCCAGCAATTTTAACTAACCCATGTTCTGATATTGTCGGGCCGAGATCCTTCCCATTTGGGGTCGTGCTACGAACGATGGGTTGCCTGGAGCAAGTTGAAGCCACGAAAGGCCGTTGGTTAAAAAAGACAATTTTCTATGTATAGACAAACTTCCTTTTTTAAAAAAATATAAAAGAAAAACCATTATGTGATTCAGAAAAAAATATGGTAATTATTAAAATTTTTTATAACAAGTGAATGATATGTTTCCAGTACCAAATGACAACATGATTTATGCTTTTCACGTATTATAGGAACCTTTTGATAATTATATTTTTATTTAGAGTTATAATGATTTTTCCAGTTATTAATGTGAAAAAAAAATAAACACAGTTTGTTTTTACATACACAAAAAAAACTAAATTAATTTTTTTAATCATTAAAAGTCACTTAATGACTATAAAAAGTTTTTATTTTATTTTGTCAATCAAAAGCAAGTATAGTTGCGATGCGTCCAGCCGTCCTCCTTCTTCCAATAGAAATTAGTTAATAATGCCAATGGATAACTCTTGGTCCTCCATATATTATTATTTGTACATTTTTAATAATTATAAAATTCAAAACAAATAAATATTATTTTCTTAACAATCTCTTATAAAAATGTAACATTTTATTCTCTGAAAAAAAGTTAACTAATTAAAATTTTCAAATTTAAATCATATAAATTAGGTTGGGACGATGATTTGGATAGTACTACCTCCGGTCCTTAATATAAGACCCTATTTGACTTTTATTTTGGTCCTAAATATAAGAGCCCAATCCACTTTGTCTCTCATATTTATTCAATTTTTTTAAGATAATTCTTCTAATAATTATAGTTCTAGTTGATGTACTTGATTAGTAAGGATATTTTAGGAAAGACAACACCTATTTAGGACAAATAACTAATTCAACTTACTTCCTTAATCTCCTTAAATTAGTCAATTAGCTCTTATAATTAGAACCGGAGGTAGGATATCACAATGATGCGAAAAGGCACTTAAACTTCACACACTCATTTACTGTCATTTTCATCCTTTTAAATTGAATTGCACAATTATTAAGAATAATTGAAGCCTGGTTAAGTTAGTCAAACTAAGGGGTTAAGTTAACATAACTAATTGAAGTTAAGATCGAATGACTGAAACCGACAATTATTTGCCTGAAGTGTAGAAGCTATTAACATGAATTAATAAGTGGCAGTGATTTTTTTAATATTTCATTAGCTTTTCTCAGATTTTGTTGCCCATAGAAAATGTCAGTGCCGTCAAATTTAATTCTTCGTCGTGATCTTCTTTTAATTTTCTTCTTCTGTGTTTTTTCTTTTCTTACAATAAGAAAGGGTAAAGCTCAAATATTAATCACATGCCAGTATTAGAAATTAAAGTAGGGCATCAAGATCCCAAGAAGATTTGGAGGGAAAAAAATCCAAAAGTATCAAATATATGGGTTAGCTAGAAGTTGAATTGGTGTTAAATATAGAATATCAATTTACTTTATCTTTCATATTTATCATTTTTCTCTCAACTAATTTACTAACTTATAAATTAATACATAATATAATATTACATGTAAATAATTTGTTCTCATTAACTAATTTATGTGAATTTCTTAATCAATCCAAATCAATTAAATAGCTCTTATGCATATTAAAATGGCAGGGAGTACAGATTAATTTTACTCATTATCCTTCATATTGGGCCATGCTTGTTAATCACGAGATAAGAAAAAAGAACATATTTTTTTTCATTAATAAAATGCTGAGATCAAGCAATACAAATAACAATCAACCCTCTAAAAGTGACGAACATAGAAACAATTAAACCCTTGTTTAAAAGGTGCACTAACACCAACATGGAAATATGAGAAGGGAACCTTTCTCTAGGTAAGGATCCAGCCTCTTTATATTACTCTTAAGCCATAATCCTTTATATAAACTTAGGATAGTAGCTATCCCAATTTTTTATTAACCAACATCTAATACTACTCCGACAATATGTATAAGGAGTAAGGAGACTATAAACTACTACTTCCGGTCTTTAGTATAAGGCCTAACTTAACTAGATATTATATTAAAGACTGGAAATAATATAAATATATGAGAAAAATGAGGTCGATGCTCATACAGGCACAGGATCCACCAACAAAGCTGTAATGGAATTCTTCATGATGCCTTTGGCATGAGTGTAATTATCTTCTTCTTTGTAAAGCACGTCCATAACACGAGCTAAGTTCAGAGGTGGCATTAGAAAAGGCCTGTCCACTTCCAAAGGTCTAAGGAGTTCTTCATTCATATCCTTCCACGCATTACTAACAACCCTACGAAACTCTTCAATGGCTTCCTGCCTTGTCACACCATGTTCCTTCATATAGCAATCAAGAACCGACACAACGTGCCCTCTTTTCTGCTCAAACTGTACGCACACAAATTAAAAGGTTTCAAAATCACCAAATTAAAGGATCTTCATTTTAATTATGTATATGTCATATAATTAAGTACCTCACTAGAGACGATGTCGTCCATGGCTCTGCAAATAAGGGAAGAAACTTTGACAAGCTTAGGCTGACTTGTAACCCATTTGAACATGTCCTCAGTGGCAAGATGTCGCAACCCAAAGAAAGATACTGTTGAGAGCAATGAATAACAACAACTTATCATTGCTGTCTCAAGGTACTGTTCTGTTGTTGGCATGTAGTTTTCATTTAACCATTTGGCCTCTCTCATGAAGGCTCTCGCCACCTTCTTCATCTGTCATCAACTTACATCATCAGATATTGCGTAATTGTATATAACTAAGAGCTTTAATTTTCCAAATTGTTTATTGCAAAAATTAGTATTTTGATTTTTGACTTGATTATAACTAAGTCCTTAAACTGTGACTTGGTTCATTTGGTCATACTTCAGATATTGCGTAACTAATGCTGTATTCTCTTCCTTCCTTCCTCATGTACTGATCCATTTCATCATAAACATTCCACAGTGCCTCGTAAGGTAACTTCATGTAGTCTGGGAGATCATCCAAGCAGCAAATATCCCACCTTATACAATCATTGATCGGTTAATACTTTGATTTAATTAAAAAACAATACATTAGAACCAAATATATGTACTATATATACCTCTCAAGTGCATCAGTGAAAATGGTCAGCTCATCAATGGTTCCATAAGCATCATAAGTATCATCAATCAGGGACAAAACGGCCATCATCTTGGTGAGTATCAATCTGCCTAAAGAGTATTGAGGCTCAAAATAAACTGCAAGAATCCAAAAGTAACATTCCACAATTCTATCTCTTGCATATGATAGATTTCTGGCAACATCCAAGCTGTTCCACCACCTGATCCATATAAACCCCCCAAAACCCATTAGCTATATACATAGCCAGAAATTAATTAAGTTAACCTAAAAGGTTTAGATCTATCGTTGTCA